AGACCCTGTCACAGTGCCTACCTAGGTTTAGGCTCTGCCATTTGCTAGCCACGGTACCTCGGGCAGCTAGTTCCTCTTTCTGAAATTCCATTTCCTTATCTGCCCAGTAAGGCCAAGTTTCCCCTAGCGTCAGTGAGGTGGCATGTGTGGAGTGGCAGAAACGTGTTGCCACAGCTTGGCAAGAGGGCACCCCTGCACTGAGGATGCACAGCCCAGCACAGAAGCAGCCCTGAAGCCAGATCTTCTAACCGGTTGGCTTCCCCTTTAGGGCAGCAGACACCGTGTGTGCACCCGCTGCGGGCTCCAGCCGCCTCTTCTCCGCGCCACTTTCACTCTCCCAGCTGCCTGGTGTGTGCCAGTCGGACCAAAGCACCACCCTCCTTGCTTCAAACCCACCTTCCTCCGACCACTGGGCCTACGCTCCCACTGCACGGGGGCCCTCCACCCCGCCAAGCGGAGCCCCCTCCACTCGGCCTGCAGGACGCCAACAGAGTGTCACCGAGGCCCCCTCCGTAGGTGTGGATTCCCTCACACAGGCTGCGCGGCCGCCCAGCGATGCAGGGGAGGGGACTGCCCCCTCCACTGTCAGCGCTACAGCTGGACGCCGCAACTCCAGCGTTCCACCCAGGGCGTCCAGCACAGCCGGGACAGAGCACCGAGGAGAACATGCTGCCAGGCCTGTCCTGGAGCCTATTGCCTCGGCTGCCTCCACGCCATTGGCCAGCAAACGCCCGGGCCCCTTCCCTACCTCGTGGAAGGGCTTGAGCACACCCCAGCCCGACCAGAGGACGCGGACCACCCCTCAGGCTCCCCACCCGAGTCCTTCGGGGGGTGGGATTCCAATCCTCCTGTTGGACGACTACAGTGAGGAGGAGGGGGCCAAGGAGGAGGGGGCCAAGGAGGAGGTGGCAGCGCCTCTCCCTGATGTCCCTTGTGATTACCACCCCTGCAAGCACCTCCAGACCCCGTGTGCGGAGCTGCAGAGGCGCTCGCGGTGCCTGTGCCCCGGCCTCAGCGGGGAGGACACCGCCCCAGACCCTCCCAGGCTGCAGGGGGTGTCGGAGACGACGGACACGTCGGCGCTCATCCACTGGTGTGCCCCCAACTCGGTGGTGCGCGGGTACCAGATCCGCTACTCGGCAGAGGGCCGGGCGGAGAACCAGTCGGTGGTGGGCATCTACGCCACCGCGCGGCAGCACACCTTGTACGGGCTGTCGCCGGGCACCACGTACCGCGTGTGCGTGCTGGCGGCCAACGGCGCGGGCCTGAGCCGGCCGCGGGCGTCGGGCTGGAGGAGGGCGTGCGGCGCCTTCACCACCAAGCCCAGCGTCGCGCTGGTGCTCGCGGGGCTGTGCGCCGCGCTCGGCCTGCTGCTCGGCTGCACCCTGGTGCTGTCCGCGTGTCTCTGCAGGCGGGCCCGGGCGCCACGCCAGCGGCGCTGCGACACGCACCTGGTGGCCTACAAAAACCCGGCCTTTGACCACCCGCTGGCGACCTAGACCTGCAGTTAGTCAGTTTCCCCTCCTCCAGTTGAGCTCTAAGTGCAGAAAAGAAGATACAGAGGGTCAAAAACAGCCCCGTCAACTCCAGCGTTTCTAACTCCCGTAAAGCCAGCACGCCTCGGGCACACGGGACTTGCCACAGAGTTTCTCAGTCCAAGGAACAGCCTCCTTCCCTTCCTTCCACATTACTCTGTTCCCAGAAACCTGATGATCACGGCCAGACCACTTCCGTGTGTGTCGAACACCAACTCCTGTGTGTTGTTTCATTTGGGCGGTCCAGCAGTGAGTGCCCCTCAGGATCCAGTAGAATAGTGTATGGAAGTAGGAAGGGATAAAACAGAAGTCGCATAACCCAGCCTCTTCCGCGAGACATTAGAGGTGACACCCTCAGGTCTTTCCAGCAGAAGTTCTTTCATGTCCACGCTCTGGCTAAGGCGTGTTATGTGTTATTCAAGGAATCAATTCCAGTGGATTCCTGGAACTGGGGGGTGAGAGGAAGAGCCATGGGTTGTTTCCTAAGGCCTTCTGGGCTTATTAGGTGCATTTCAGAATATGGCAAAAAAAAAAATATATATACTTCTAGCTTTTACAGTTAAAACTATAGGTTTCTGGGAATATCTGTTAAACACAGGAGAAGGCTGTTCTTTTAAAAGTCAGTGTTAACTGCATTTCACCTGAGACTTAGTAGACAAATGAACTATGAATTCCTTTTTTAGGAAGCATAATTACTTTCAGGAACTGGGTTTTTTTTAATTAGAGGGAAGAAATGGGCAAAAGAGAACCTCAAGGCTCTAGCTAAAAGCCAAAGCATTTCTTTGCTCCCAATTGACCAAACAATACCTTAATAATCTGTATATTAGTGTGGGGTGTGTCCACTATACCCTTTTCAATTTTATACAAACAAGAAAAAAAGTGATTCTATGAAATTATAATTGAGGCTATTTTCTACATCAGCATTTGTTAATTTCCTGTAGCTGCAGTAACAAATTACCACAAATTGATAAAACTGGCTTGAAATAACAATTTTTTTTTTCTTATAGTTCAGGCCAGAAATCCAAATTCAAGGTTCTCAGCAGGATCGACTCCTCCTGGAGGCGCTGAGGGAGAATTGTTCCATGCCCTTCTCCTAGCTGCTGATGGTGGCGGGAATCCTTGGTGTTCCTTGGCTTATAGACATCACTCCGATCTATGCCTCCATCATCTCCTGGCATTCTGTGTCTGTGTCCAAATTTATTTTTTTCTTACAAGGAAACTAGTCATTGGATTAAGGCCCATTGTAATCCAATACTGTCTCATCCTAACTTGATTTCATCTGTAAAGACCCTATTTTCAAATAAGGTCATATTCACAGGTACTTGAATGTTAGAACTTGAACATACCTTTCTTGAAGGACACAGTTCAACCCACAACAGCATTTAATTCTGCTGTCAGGAAAAAAAAAATCAAATTTGAATCCCATGTATCTTTTGTTTCCAAACCATATTGCAGAAACTGAGCATATCCCAAGTTTGACCGGGATAACTGAATTGCTCTCCATATTTCTAGGTGTTTGAAGTTTCAAAAGAGCATCCCAAAGTTTTAAGGTGGATCCCTAGTTTCATCACAAATGTAACCAACTAAGTGATTGGCCGGGCGCGGTGGCTCACGCCTGTAATCCTAGCACTCTGGGAGGCCGAGGCAGGCGGACTGCTGGAGGTCAGGAGTTTGCAGCCTGAGCAAGACCCCGTGTCTACTATAAATAGAAAGAAATTAATTGGCCAACTTATATAGAAAAAATTAGCCAGGCATGGTGGCGCATGCCTGTAGTCCCAGCTACTAGGGAGGCTGAGGCAGGATTGCTTGAGCCCAGGAGTTTGAGGTTACTGTGAGCTAGGCTGACGCCACGACACTCACTCTAGCCTGGGCAACAAAGCGAGACTGTCTAAAAAAAAAAAAAAAAAAAATCTCCACCATCTCCTGCTTAAAAATTGCAAAGCAAGCCAGGTATGGTGGCATGTCCCTGTAGTCCCAGGTAATCGGGAAGCTGAGACAGGAGGATGGACTGAGCCCAGGAATTCGAGAGACCAGCCTAGGCAACATAGCAAAACTGCCTCAAAAAAAAAAAGCAAAGCAAAAGCCAAAAATATGACTAAAGTTCTCAGATGTGTGGGTCAAATGATCCCAATGTTTTTTTTTCTTTTTTAGCCTACTATCAAGTCTATTTTGTGGAGACACTGAAATACATTTTCATCATGTTTTGAGTCTGTATGCATAGAATGTACTTTAAGATGCCTAATACAAATCCAGTGTTTTATAAAATGGCAAAATTTATGTGCTTTGTAATTCAGTATCCAAAAAGCCGGGTAGATTTGGAACATTTTTCTAAGGGTTGAAGTGGAAAAAGTCTATTAATCAGAGCCAGATTAAGACCTTAACAGTAAAGAGATTAGGAGTCCAACCCATAAATCACCCCAATGGCATTAACACTAAATCATAACTGTAATTCTAGCACTCTGGGAGGCCGAGGCGGGCGGACTGCTCGAGGTCAGGAGTTCGAAACCAGCCTGAGCAAGAGCAAGACGCCGTCTCTACTATAAATAGAAAGAAATTAATTGGCCAACTAATATACATAGAAAAAATTAGCCGGGCATGGTGGCGCATACCTGTAGTCCCAGCTACTTGGGAGGCTGAGGCAGTAGGACTGCTTGAGCCCAGGAGTTTGAGGTTGCTGTGAGCTAGGCTGACGCCATGGCACTCACTCTAGCCTGGGCAACAAAGTGAGACTCTGTCTCAAAAAACAAAAACAAAAAAACAAACAAAAATACCCACTAAATCATAAATAAGCATAATAAAGTACAGAGTTTTCATTTTCCCCATAACTACCTCAAGTCCTCCCTTCTTTAAACATTTTTGTATGCTTACTTCACTAATGCCAAGACTGGCTCACTGTGCCTCTTCAGTGGGACCAAACTCCAGCCTTACCACCTCCCAGCTATGAAACCGCAGGGAGGTTCCAAAGGGCTAGAACCACCAGCCACACATATCCATTCCCCACCCCCACCCCCACCCCCCTGGCTGCAGGCTTCAGTATGCTCCAAACCAACAGTGGCTCAGCTGCTAGTCTGGGAACAAGGAAGCCAGGAAGCAAGCCACAGAGGAGCACAGTGATGCAGAATGCTGTTGCCAAGAGGCATGAGTTTTTCTTATAACTTCCATTTTAACACAGCTCTGCAGGTTGTGATTGGATAATTTCACTGTATGAGTCCATATTACACTTGGGTTAAAACCAGGGACACTAGGCAGCAATAGGCCTCTACTGTTCAGAGAAAGGAACCAGCACTCCACACTGTCTTAAGGGGGAAATCCCTGTCCCGTAATCCTCCATTCTCTCAAACACCATGGTGTAGTGAGAATGTCTTTCGAACTAGATGGTCCCAAACCAATGTTTTTTACAATGTAAGTGAATCAGAAAATGTGAGCAACAGCAGAAGATAAGTATGCTACATGGAACAACTCAAGTTAAAAGTACAATTTTTTTCCAGCTCTTTTATTCCTTAACTTCTTAACAAAAGAAGATTCCCCAAAGTTTAAAAAAACTTTTGAAAAATATACAGCTTCATATTATTTACACAATATATGAGTACAGGTTCCAATATCAAACAAACATTGGTACGTTAGAAACAGAGGGACGGCACGATGTAACTCACTGCCTTTTAGCTGCAAAGGCTAATGGACGTGTTCTCATACATATTTCAACTACCTTTGTTACTTGCTATCCTGATACATACACTGTTAGGTACCTGAGAGGCTGGAAGACTACTGAACATGAACTTCAACACCTTCTATTTCGTTTGATCTTATTATTTTCAAAACGTACTGCATTTTAAATCCCTTTACAACTTTACTTCATCCAGTTATGCTAACTCCATTTTCATTATTCTAAATGATCAAATGTTAACCACATGAACTGTTAATGTATGCATAGATCTAAAAATCAAACAAAAAAATATATAGCCAAGTTGTGTAGGATAGATGCTTAAACCCAGGAAATTCCTTAGTGCTTTGTGAGCAGTTTAAATTCTATTTTAAGAGAGGTGTCAATTCTTCAGTTTCCAGGCTCTGGAGTACGTTTTCAAAAACCATATAAAAATGGCTGACAATAATTAGAATAATTGAACTATGTTAATCAAGAAACCTAAGATTAAAAATTCTAAATTATAGTTTTATTTGCATTTAAAAATACATTGAAAATTCTGCATATGCCCATGATCACATGATCAAGCGTATTTTCAATGTACATTAAATTTTGATGACATGGTTTGTTCTGACAAGTCCTTCTACAAACTGAACACCAAACTAGGAAACTCCTGTAGATTTCCACGGGCCCTGCTGCCGATGACGTATTCTGTTTCCTCGCTAATGGTGATGGATGACTTTCATCAGCCCTTTATCACCTGAATAGTTTTCCGACCATAATGATAATAACTATAAGCTGATGCAGTGTGGCTGGATGAGCCTGTCAACACACCCTTTCATGGAAGGAAAGAAAGAAAATTTAGTTGTCAAGTCTAAAACACAGCGTAACAGCTGAGCTCACATGAAACTGCAAAAGATCTATTTAAAAAGTACAAAGGCTTTGTGGAATAATTATTTTTTAACTACAAGAATCTAAATACCGGCCGCGCGCTGCGGTGGGCTCCGCCTTATATCCTGCCTCTGGGCAGGGGCCGAGGCGGCAGCTTCTTTGCTCGAGGTCAGGAGTCAACCAGGAGTTCCAAACTCAGCGAGCAAGAGCAAGACCCCCGTCTCTACTAAAATAACAGGAACTCATTGGCAACTAAAATAATATAGAAGAACAAAAGAACCTTAGCGCAGGCCATGGTGGCGCATGCCTATAGTCCCAGCTACTTGGGAGGCTGAGGCAGCAGGCTTGCTTGAGCCACAGGAGTTTGAGGTTGCTGTGAGCTAGGCTGAGCGCACGGCACTCACTCTAGCCTGGGCAACAAAGCCAGACACTGTCTCAAAAAAAAAAAAAAAAAAGACTTTTCTTTAAGACTTCATTTGAATTAGTAATATCAAACAACAGTCTTCTAGGTGTCTTATGTTCTCATTTTATTTTCACAGCAACCTCAATCTACAGATGAGGAAATGGAAACCCTGAAGACTTGCTTGGGCCTATGACAGAACTATGTCTGAGCCTGGCCTGGTTTCACCTCGAAAGCCCATGTTCTCTTTCCACAGCTGCATGCTGCTTAGAGCATTAAGAGTCTATTTCCTACAGGTTTTGAGAATTTTAAATAAATTTCAGCTTTCTTTACCAGTGTTTCCTTAACCAGATACTCCTTGAAATGACAGGGGTGGTGCCACGGCATGCTGAATGCTTACAGTATCCACACACTTCTGCTTCCACCAGGTGAGACAGAATCATCTAGATTCTTTTTTTTTTTTTTTTTTTTTTTTTTTGAGACAGAGTCTTGCTTTGTTGTCCAGGCTAGAGTGAGTGCCGTGCCATCAGTCTAGCTCACAGCAACCTCAAACTCCTGGGCTCAAGCGATCCTACTGCCTCAGCCTCCCGAATAGCTGGGACTACAGGCATTGTGCCACCATGCCGGCTAATTTATATATATATACTACAGTGTGGCCAATTAATTTCTTTCTATTTATAGTAGAGATGGGGTCTTGCTCTTGCTCTTGCTCAGGCTGGTTTTGAACTCCTGACCTTGAGCAATCCGCCCGCCTCGGCCTCCCAGAGAGCTAGGATTACAGGCGTGAGCCACCGCGCCCGGCCTAGATTCATTTTTGTTTGATCCCAAACCTGTTCATACCAGTTGGATATTCTAAATTCATACATAAACCAATGAAACATGTGTAAGAACAACTGCTATTTCTGAGAACTATGCTGGATGTTTTAGAAAGACTTAATAGTAGGCAGGATGATCATGAAAACACTGGAAAAAAATGGCAAAAAAAAAAAAATCTAGTTACTGCACTCAGATTGCTCTGCAAACGTCTTAAATTCTTGCATCACCTTAAAAAAGTAAAAAATGAAAATCAGAGAGATTGTATCATGGATGTAGTTTATTCAATAAAGAAAAAAAACTCTCATTGATGAATCTGTACTTTAAAAAGCCCTCATCCTATATTGGAAGGTACAGGATGAATCAGAATGCATGTACACTTATATGTTTTAGATTAAAATAAGAAGTTTAGGCTGGGCGCAGTGGCTCATGCCTATAATCCCAGCACTTTGGGAGGCAGAGAAGGAGGATCACTTAAGGCCAGGAGTTCAAGACAAGCCTGGACAACATAGTGAGACCCTGTCTTTACAAAAAAAAAAAAAAAAAAATTAGCCAGGTGAGGTGGCACATGCCTGTAGTCCCAGCTACTTAGGAGGCTGAGGCAGGAGGATCACTTGAGCCCAGGAATTTGAGGTTACAGTGAGCTATGACTGGGCACTGCACTCCAATCTGGGCGACAGAGTGAGACTCTGTCTCTAAAAAGAAAAAAGGTTTGGAGTATGTATCCCTTTGACCAGCATCAAGCTAGAAAGTTCTAATTATAGAGTTAAAAGTGTACTAAAATATAACACTTCAATATCAATGTGGCACTTTGAACTCTGAAAATTTGAATTTGACACATTTTCAAAACTATAAATAAGCAATTATGATAATAAAATTCAAACTCCTTTCTCCAGTTTTCCCACTATACCCCTTTTCAATAGGATGAACTCACTTTCCTCTACCCACTCTGCTACACCCTGACTTTGCTGAGGATCTTCCAATACCTGATGGCCTCCCTTCAGTCTCTTCCTGTACAAAATCCACCTACACCTCATGGCTCAAATGCCCCTTCTTCCCTGAAATGTTCTTTCTTCCTACCTGGAAGTATCTTTTCCTCCTCTGAAACCATAACACATCATCAGTATCTCTTGTCCCTTTTAATTTGCATGAGAACTAACTTCTACATCCCATCCTTGATGGTAAGCTTCTTAAGAATGGTAACAAGGGGCCAGGCGCGGTGGCTCACGCCTGATCCTAGCTCTCTGGGAGGCCTAGGCGGGCAGATTGCTCGAGGTCAGGAGTTCGAAACCAGCCTGAGCAAGAGCGAGACCCCGATCTCTATTATAAACAGAAAGAAATTAATTGGCCAACTGATATATATATAGAAAAAATTAGCCGGGCATGGTGGCACATGCCTGTAGTCCCAGCTACTTGGGAGGCTGAGGCAGGATTGCTTGAGCCCAGGAGTTTGAGGTTGCTGTGAGCTAGGCTGACGCCATGGCACTCACTCTAGCCTGGGCAACAAAGTGAGACTCTGTCTCAAAAAAAAAAAAAAAGAATGGTAACAATGATAAAATGTAGCCATGGCTTTACCCAGTCAGTGCTCAATAAACACTATAAGAACAAAGTCACTCCAGCACTGTCACAGTAAGTCATGGTGTTGACATTCTCAGAGATAATAACTATAAGCTGATGCAGCTGTGGTGAGGGCTGTACAACACCACAGCATCTGAAGATAAATGCTGTCAGAATAATTGAAAACTGGAGCTGCCAAAGAAGCTGCCACCAAGATTAACTGGACTGCTGTGTTTACCTAAAAGGAAAAAAAGGAACAAGTTATAAATGAATAGTGCCAATGGAAGCTATTTCAAGCTTGTGAGACAAAGGCATAGCCCGTCCCATCACACTGTAACATTACATACCCTCGGCATGCTTGATGTTGATCTACAATATCCCTGCCAAAGACTGGCATTCGCAGGTGAGCACACCCCGAAGGGTCAACTTCACCGACTGACCCGTCTTGTCTGCACAGCTGCCCTTCACAAGTGAGGGCGATGGGGCAATGAGTTAGTTACCTGCTGTCACAACAGACAACAGAACTGAAGCTGGAACCCAGCTTCCCTGGTGCCTTAGCCAACGATCGTTTCACTTGCCTACCTGTCAACCCCTGTGAGGGCAGAAAATTAAAATGCAATCATCTTCACAAAAGAGCCTCTTCTGAAGGAAATGAATAAGATTCCCTACCCTAAAATACAGCATTAGGGAATAAAAGAAAAGAGAACTAGAAATACACTGGAACTAGAACTAGAAGAAAACTAGCAATACTCTATCATCAGGAGAAGCCTTCTGTGAAAGGGTCTGTGAAGTATGAAACAGTGGGTGATGTGTGTAGAGAAGCACTTCTGTTCTACCATCCATTCTGCAGCCCAAAGACAAAGATTCTTCATTTTTAAAACAAAATAATTAACTTTGTCTGAAGAACTTCCCACGAGAACAAGGGTTTGTTTGAGGCATTTGTCCCTGCACCTCTTTAAGCCACTTTCTACAGAGTACCATATATAAAGTTGGTGTACTTGATATAAATACAAGTCACTAAGCCAAAAGAACCCCACGTATGTAGGTTACAGTCCATCCTAGGGAGTCTTTGTATAAAAGCAATCACCCCTCTTTTTCAAAGATGATCAGCATCCCAAACCTGCTAAATCCCTGTCATTAAAGATGGGACAAAAGAATTGAAAGGGATGGCCTTGTGAAAATAATAGGAAAATACCTAATCCTACAATTTTCCCAGGAACAGTTAAAGATCAATCCTGAGTTCTCTCACTAACAAGTACCCTGCAAGAGTTGTTTTGCACTACTTATGAAGAGCTAAATAACAGAAAAAGATGTAAATCTCTTTCAAAATTGTTTTTTGAGAATCTGCTTTGACAGAGTTCCTGGGTACACAGCAGGAGAAGGAACTACAGCCTCAACCACATCTCAAGGACAAAGTCACCTCTCCCGTGATAATCCCTTCTCCAAGCAAAGGGAGGAAAACAACTCTTGGACCTTGACATCCTTGCAGTTTTTGTTACCTACCTGCTGCTGCTTTTGTTATCAACTGACAGCCATCACTATTTTTTTCTCTTTGTCCCCATAAAAGCAGCAAGCCACTTGGCCTTAATGCTGGCACCCCCCCTTCCCTTTCTTTGGGATGCCACGCCATCTCCCTACTTTCTTTCTCCTTTTCCCTTCTCTCTTTCTCTTTCTCCCTCTCTCTCTCTCCCTCCTCTAAAAGAGTAAACTTTTTTTTACTTTTATATAGCTCAGTCTCAGTGTGAGAAATCTTTCTTCACCTGTGCTGTGAACACCCACTAGCCTTTCCATCCTAACAAGAATGACTTGAGCAAACTTATCAAGGCTTTTAGAAAGACACACAGGGCTTGAGAGGCATTAATAGTATTGTTTTTGTGTGCAAAGATTGGCCTGAAGGCTCAGGAAAACAGAATGGACAACTAGGAGTAGCAGTTGTTCATTAGTCAATAAAACTTTCTCCAATCACCTTCCACTTAAGGGTGTCAATCTGAAAATGAAAGGACCATAATATATGGTGTTTTCACCACAGGGAGGGAGGCAGTGAAACCACAAGGGACACTACATCATCTCTCTGCATCTCAATCAAGAAGAACTTCCATTTCAGTTCCCTTCCCTTTTCTGAACATGGCCAAATTACAACCACTAACCCACAGCACAACATACAACAACCATTCAAAGATCTAAAAAGCTCAGAGGACAAAGAACTGGGTTAAAGTTGTCTGCCTTACCCCACTATCCCCTATAGTCAAGCCATTTAAATTTGTCTCATTTTCAGCTGCCCTTGACTGAGGTTTATATTCATTACAATAAAATTCACAAAGCTATACCTAGAGGCACATGCCAGAGGAGGGGCCAAAAAAACCCATAAAATTCACAAAGGAATAACTTAAAGGACATTGTATATCTCTTACCTTGCTGATGAATGTTGGTTTTAACCTAGCAGTAGCATAGCAAGGGTTGAAATACTTAGCAAGTGTTCGCTGGCAAAGGACCAAAACAGATAAAGTGTTTAATTTATTGTTCAAGTTTAAAACAAACATTTTGTTGTTATTTGTAGGTAACAGTTACTGATTACTTACCATTTCCTGGCCCTATGCTAGTAGATAAACCCTTTGTATTTATCTTCTTTATGTTAAATGGGTAGTATCTACATTCTTTATAAATCACACATACATTCAACACATACATATATTCAATACAGAGTGAAAACTGATTTTTAAAAATTTCTAGATTTCTTAATTCCTATAAAATTCTAAATAGCTACCAGTTATCAAGTTTGCTTGATGACATCTTCCTACTAAACTCAAAACTCCCTATCACTATTTTCTTTTACAGATTTAAAAACAAATGAATAAAATACTGCTCTCTACTTTCACTAGGCTGGGAGTCAAAAGAGGTTATTATGCTATGCTTGTGTGCTCAAATATTTATAGAACCAATGAACAAATATACAAGTAAACCATCCCATGCTCCTACAACTATAATTTTATTTTATAATATTTAAAAAAATTTATATAAAAGATTTATAAAATTAATTTAAAATAAACATTTTTATTTTTTTATTTCTTTTCTTTTTTTTTTTTTTTATTTTTTTTTTCTTTTTCCGAGATGTTTCTAGAGCTGAAATTTCTTTTATTTTTTAATTTAAAAATTTCTCTTCAACTCTTTAAACTGAGAATATGAAGTACAACTATAATTTTAAAAACCAATTCTAGACAAACCATAGTATAGGCTAAATTAGAAACAATAAGGCTTGGATCTATGCAAAACACCTCTAACAAAGTTTGCTACTAGGGATGGAGGTGCTTGCTGGTCTGGGTTTCACTTTGGCTTAAAACAGAAACACGCCTTTTAAAAATTGACTATTCATGTATTTACTAAACAACTACCTTAGTGGATGATTCAAATAACAAGGTACTTTTAAAATTCCTGGTAAATGGGTCAAAAAATAATTGCCATAAATTAATCCCATAACCATAAATAGAGTGAATCTTTACTTTTTTTCTTTCCCTTAAGTTATATATAATGCTAAGAGAATATTTTTTGGAAACAACTTACCGGTGTTGGAAGAGTTCGATATCTGACATAAAAAACAGCAGCAATCAACAATACATCTCTTGAAATTATCATATAAGTAAGTGGAACTGAAAATCAAATATAAAATAATTTTAATTGGGATTTTGAAGATTACTAATAAACATTATGAATACAATAAAACCTCATTCAGCCTTATCACAAACTGGTATTTCCCATACATGAAAGTTTCATAATAAACACTTACTGACAGTTTAGGATCCCCACAGTGAACCACTGAGTTTTATATTCTTCTTTAACCTGCCCTCAAAAGAAAGTAAAGTACAGTCTATGTCTGTCTATGAGAGAATGTTGATCCTCTCATCTCTTTTTGTTTTTTCTTGCATGTGTTTTAAGCTATAAATCTGCAGTTATCAGTGTCAGCTCTACTCTACTCCATCCATCTCCTCCTTTGTTAATCTCAGCTTTGTGGGTTTAGAAAAAAGAACACCATGCTCAACAGAATTACATGGAGAGAGATGTTAAGGAGGCTGGGAAGGATGTTGGAGGATTCAAGCTCTTCTGGAGTCCTAGGAGCTCGATGGAATGCTTCAGCACTTTAGACTACTCTCTCAGGAGTCAAATTTGCATATGCACACTATTTCTGGACAAAAATATTTTATTCTTATCCAGCCAGTTCCTACCCAGGCAACTGCTACTTTTCTGCCTGCCCAGTCATTCAATGGATTCAGCTCATCAACAGTTTTCTCATTATTCCTCAGTTTTACAGCATTGTCCCCTGACCCAGTGCCAAGAGAAGTGTATTTCAGATTAATGCCCAAGGAACCCCCCTACTCCCTGCTTGAATGAGAGGGCAGAGAACTTGCTTTACTTTATATCCTTCTTTACTGCAGGAAGTTTTAAAACTGTGAATATATATCTTTTACAAGGAAAAAATATGCTTTTGAAAGATTTGAAATTTAAAAAAAAAAAGAATTTTTAAAAGGGAAAAAAATCCTGACTGCAAACACTCAGATCAACTGTTTCAATTACTAAAATAAAGGTTGATGCACATCCCTTCCATAATACTTTCAAACAATTCTTATGAATTACTTGAGGCCGTACTTATGGTCCTCTTCAGTTCTGAGATTTCTACTGGCTCTGCAATTTGAAGAAAATCTCACTAATTAATTATAGATTTAAAATGTAAATCTCTGCTGGTCATAGCAATGATGAATATGTTGATCCTTGGCCTAGTCTTTGATGATAACACTATTCCAAAGAGAAAATGCTTCTCAATTCAAGTCATGGAATTTTGAACAGACAGAAGATATGCCCACAGAAGCCATGCAAGAAACAGTGAACCATGATTTTTATAAACATTTTTGTACATGTAAAACAAATTTTTCTATAGCAATCATTAGCTGGCAAAATCTAACAACAATCACTCTTTTAAAATGCAGCAACCCCATGCAAATTAAAACTCATGTAAACATGGAGGAACATGCAAGACTGTATCTATGCAAGAATGTAGGTATACAGAATTCACAGACTATGTTTGGGGCAGCGCACTAGGCTCCAACCCAGCAGTATGACCTAGCAACTAGCATCTCTAGACTCAGTTTACCTTGTATAATAATCTGGTGGGCGAAAGGGCTATTAACAAAATCAAGGGTTCCCAAAACTAACTGCCTACCCAAAAATCACCTTGGGAGAGCTTCCTAAAAGCCCAGATGAAAGCTCCCTGGGTGATGTGCATGCACAGCCAGGCTGGGACCTTTCTGCAGAAAGTAGTCTTCTCCAACTGACAGTATATGGGCTCCTACTGTTGTTCTCTGGGCAATTTTACCTAGTTCTCTGACTTTTTCTCTGGCCTTCCCTTCTTTTTTTTTTCTAGAGCCAAAGCAGCTTTCATTCTGCCTGCTAGAATATGACAGTGTGTTAGCGGTGGACAGCACAGTGTAAAATGTGTCAGGGAATGCTGCACAGTCTTTCTCCCTACCTGCTAATTCTGTCTGAAACATAAGCAATGTTTGCAACAAGGAGGTACATCATGCACTCTAATTTTATTAGAGTTAAAGGGAAATATTTCATAAAATCAATTCATTTTTACATATTAAAAGTGGTCAACATCAATATCATAGGTTTTTGCTTTGAAAACAATACATTTAATGAAATTATTCTGGAAATCGAAACCAGAAATAAGAATTTACCATATGGTAAACCAGAAATGATATAAAGATACAAAAAAATGTGGCTAGGTGGTAAATGTGGCAAAACAAATGCCCATAAGCAAGTAGAAATTATCTTAGGTTCGTAATCCACACTCTAATAAATATAACAAGTCAAATAATTCTTCATCCTTCTCCCCCTCTCCCATAAAAATAAGATAAGCAGAATGATTTATTATTTCAGCTAAGGAAGAAAACAAATTTCTTTTTTTTTTTTGAGACAGAGTCTCACTTTGTTGCCCAGGCTACAGTGCGTGCCATGGCGTTAGCCTAGCCTAGCAACCACAAACTACTGGGCTCAAGCAATCCTGCTGCCTCAGCCTCCTGAGTAGCTGGGAATACAGGCATGTGACATCATGCCCGGCTAATTTGCTATATATATATTAGTTGGCCAATTAATTTCTTTCTATTTATAGTGGAGACTGGGTCTTGCTCTTGCTCAGGCTGGTTTCGAACTCCTGACCTCAAGCAATCCGCCCGCCTCAGTCTCCCAGAGAGCCAGGATTACAGGCGTGAGCCACTGTGCCCAGCCAAAGAAAATAAATTATTTTAAAACTCTTCCCCAAAGAAAACTCAAGGCTTCAACAAATTCGACCAAACATTTAAAGTGGAAAGGGAGAAAAAAGCAGTCTATAACTCAATTTATGAGGCTAGTTATAAATTTGATACTAACCTAATAAAAATATTTGGAGAAAAGAATTTCAAGACAATCTTACAAATCTAAATGTGAAATCTTCAATAAAACATTAGCAAACCAAATCCAGCAATATCTTCATAATATATCATGGCCATGTTGGATCTATACCAGGAATTGCAGATGGTTTTAGTATTAGAAGACAATAATGTAATTCATCACACTTTAACAGCTTGAAGGGAAAGAAGTGATATAACAATCATAATACACACACACAAAAGAGTTTGATAAAATTCAATATCCAGTTGTGATAGAAATTCTTAACAAACTCCCAACAGAAGTAAACTTCTTAACCTGAAAAAGGATATCTACAAAACCCTACAGGAAACATCATCTTTAATTGAGAAATGTTAGCCAGGTACAATGGCTCACACCCCTAACCCCAGCACTCTGAGTGGCCAAGGCAGGAGGATTGCTTGAGGCCAGGAGTTTGAGAGACTAGCCTGGGCAACACAGTAAGACTCCCTTCTCTAAAAAAAAAAAAAATTCAAAAAATTAGCTGGGCCTGGTGGCATGCACCCATAGTTCTAGCTATTTGGGAGGCTGAGACAAGAGGATCACTTGAGCCCAGGGTTTTGAGGCTGCAGTGAGTTATGATCACACTGCACTCCAGTCTAGACAAAGCGAGACCCTGTCTCTAAAAAATTAAAATAATAGTAAAATGTTAAAAGCTTTCTCTATGAGATTGGGAATAAGACACAGATACCATTCCTATACATAACTATACTTTTTACTTTTCCAGTAAAAGGACTGGAAAAGAAGAAATATACTGTCATTAATTATAGACATAATTGAGGATATAGAAAATTCAAGAGAATTTATATTATTAGAATAAGAGCAAGTTTTGCTAGACACAAAAATCAACATTAGAAATAGAACTGGGAACACTCATTCTATTTTATAGAAAAAGTATTACCCAATAAAAAGTGAAAAAGAAACAGAACTGATTTTCATCATATCAACAAGGAGTTCTTACAAAAGGAAATTTTAAAAGCTACTATTTATAAAAGCATCAAGAACTATCATGTACTTAGGAATAAATCTAACAAAAAAAGTTTATTACCTCTCAGGAGAAAACTATAAAACTTTGAGAGACATTAAAGACACAGAGTAGATACACCATGTTTGTGGACTGGAAGACTTAATATTGTAAAGATGCCAATTCTCCCAAATAGATCATAAATTGCAATCCCAATGAAAATTCCAAGAGATTTTTCTCAAGAGAATTACAGATTCTGGGAAAAACTGATCCTGAAATTTATATACAAATGGAAAGGGCTAAGAATATACAAGGTAGAGGACTTGCTCTACCAGATACTGAGACTTCTAGCAAAGCAATAATAAAAATGGCATTAGTGCAAAGACAGGACAAATCAATGGGGAAAAAGGCAGACAACTCAGAAATGGACCTGTGTGTATACTGACATTATAGTAAGATTACTGTTCACTAAAATTAGATAATATTTTAGTTACAACTAGTGGAAATCAAGCTCACTGTACCATTTTAATAACTGAAGAGGAAAATATGGAAAAGCCAATGATTTGTAAATGAAGCAGGGAGAGACATTAAAAGGAAATACAGGTGTATTTTATATGTTTAATGTTGCTGAAAAGCCAAGAATAACAACTTTTATGAATATTCATAGTATATTTTTATTCCAAAAAACTTTATGAGTCATGATAACAATGCTCTCTATTAATTTATTGGATTCCTCCTTACTTTTCAGAAAATGTGGTATTTGTTTTAGTTGTTTAAGGAAACAGAAAACATGTAAGAATACACCTAAATATAAACGACAGTGTTTTATTAAAAAAAAAAAAAAAAAAAAAAAAAAAAAAAAAAAAAAAGAGTGCTGCGGGCTGAGTGTGGTGGTTCATGCTTCTAATCCCAGCACTTTGGGAGGCCAAGGCAGGAGGATTGCTTGAGGCAGGAGGTCAAGACCAGCCTAGACAATACAGCAAGACCCTGTCTCTACAAAAAATAATTTAAAAAATTAGTCAGGTGTGGTGGCACCTGCAGCTCTAGTTACTCAGAAGGCTGAGACAGGAGGATCACTTGAACCGAGAAGTTCAAGGTTGTAGTGAGCTATGATCACACCACTATACTCCAGCCTGGATAATAGAGCAAGAACTTGTCTCTAAAAATAAATCACCCTGATACAAAAACCAGGAAAGGACACAAGAAAAAGAGAAAACTACAAACAGATATCCCTCATGAACACAGATGCAAAAATCCTCAGCAAAATACTAGCAGAAAGAATCCACAGCACATCAAAAAAATAATACACTAATCAAGTGGGTTTTATCCCAGAGATGCAAAGATGGTTCAGTATACACAGATCAATAAATGTGATTCACCATATAAACAGAATTAAAAACAAAACCCATATGATCATCTCAAGAGACCCAGAAAAAGCATTTGGTAAAATCCAACACCCACTCATGATGAAAACTCTTAACAAACTAGGCATAGAAGAAACATATCTCAAAATAGTAAAAGCCATATATGACAAACCCACGACCAACATCATACTGAATGGGTAAAAGCTGAGAACAGGAAGAAGACAAGGATGTCCATTTTTACCACTTCTCTTCAACATAATACTGGAAGTCCTAGGCAGAGCAATCAGGCAAGAGAAAGAAATAAAGGGCATCCAAATCAGAATACAGGACGTCAAACTATCCTTGCTCACCAATGGTATGATCTTTTATCTGGAAAACCCTAAAGACTCCTCCAAAAGACTCCTAGAACTGACAAATAAATACAGTAAAGTATCAGGTTACAAAATAAATGCACACAAATCAGTACCATTTTTATACACTAGTAACAGTCAAGCTGTGATTCAAATCAAGACCTCAGTACCATGTATGACAGCTGCAAAAAATAAAATAAAATACCTAGGAATATGTTATACTTAACCAAGGAGGTAAAAGATCTCAACAAAGAGAACTACAAAACACTGACAAGAAATTAATGACACAAACAAATGGAAAACTTCCCATGATCATGGATTGGGAGAATCAACATTGTTAAAATGTCCATTCAGTCCAAAGTGATTTACAGATTGAGTGCAATTCCTATCAAAATGCCAACGTCATTTTTCACAGAATTAGAAAAAAAAAATCCTAAATTTCATATGGAATCCCACTCTAGCCTGGGCAACAAAGTGAGACTCTGTCTCAAAAAAAAAAAAAAAAAAAAAATTTCATATGGAATCAAAAGAGAGTCCAAATAGGCAAAGTAATTCTAAGCCAAAAAAAAGCCCAAATCTGGGCTGGGCATGATGGCTCACACCTGTAAATCTTAGCAATTTGGGAAGCTTAGGTGGGAGGATAGCCTGAGGCCGGGAGTTCCAGACCAGCCTGAGCAAGAGCAAGACCCTATCTCTACAAAAAATAGAAAAATTAGCTAGGCATGTGGTACATGCTTGTAGTCCCAGCTACTCAGGAGGCTGAGGCAGGAGAATCATTTAAGCCCAGGAATTTGAGGTTGCTGTGAACTAGGCTGACGCCATTAACACTCTAGCCCAGGTGACAGAGCAAGACTCTGCCTCAAAGAAAAGACCGACAAATGTTGGTGCAAATGTAGCAAAAGGGAACATTTATATACTGTTGGTGGGAATATAAATTAGTATAACCTACATGCAAAACAGTATAGAGATTCCTCAAAGAACTGAAAGTAGACCTCCATTCAATCCAGCAAAACCACAGCTAGGTGTCTACTCAAAGGAAAAAAAAAAGGCATTCTATAGACACCTGCACTCAAAATAATTTCTATGTTTAATAGGGAAATGACCCAAACTTTGTAAAACAACATAATAAAATATAACAATCAAAATGAGAGATATGAAAACACACACACAAACCATTTGAATTTTGAATGTCACCAGAATGCTCTACAGGATTTTTCCTAAAAATTCCCTACAGTCATTAGAATGAGAATACCACTGTCCCTTCAAGCCCCCCATCCCTAACTATATACACACCTCAATTCCAACTTTCAAAACAGCATATAAATGTAAACATTAGTCCAATTTATTTTTCAATTTGGCATAAAAGCTTAGAAGGCTAATGGTAAAAATCAAAAGGAATTTCCAGCTTGAGAAGATTACATTGGACCGAAATAACCACTACACTCCTTCCTACCAACTGTCAATAATAACATGATACTGAAGGACCACATGACAGCTGCTTTGTTCTCAGATCTGATTTCTAACCTTGGGGGGAAAAAACAGTTTAATCTGGACTAAGGAAGAAAAACTGATTAAGAAATACAACTGAAGTAGAAAACAACCAGAAAAGCACATGCAAAATACAAAGCAAAATATCACAAAATTGTGTTAGAAAAAATATTCAGATAATATACCATCTATGTGATTTGAATATTGCATAATAGGGTCTAAATAGCAATAATGATGTGAAGTTTTATAATCATCTTCAGGATTTCAGAGTTTTCATTTATTATGACTAAACTGTATTTAATAAAGGTAATAATAGACTTAGGAAAACTTTAAATTGTTTTCAAAAAGTAAGGCACTAAAAATATATAACATAGCCCCCCCAAAATTCTACAGTAATATGAATAGGCATTGTGAAATATTTGTTCAACTTTAATATTAAACAATCTTACTAAGAAAACCGCTAATTCTACTAGTGTAACTCGGACATAAACTCTAAAAGAAACAAAGATGTTGGCAATCAAAATAGTTCAATAGTTTAAAATTAGGGAAACAGTTTAAAGTTGAAAAATATATTTATGGAACAAAAATTATTTGTCTCTCAAGAGAAGTCCTAAACTGACTAATGTCATTCTTCCCTGTGCTACTTAACAGCACGCATGACGGCGTTCTTACCTGGAATAAGATCTGCATAGGTCAAGCTAACATATAAGATACTGATAAGTATTTTATCAGCAAGTGGATCAAGAGCACTTCCCAAAGCTGATTTTTGATTGGCCCAGTTTCGAGCAATAAATCCATCCAACTGAAAATAGAAGTTGTTTGTTTTTTTATAAATGTCATAATAGGAACAGAGTAGATATCTTGAAGCTTAAGAGGTACCAGAATAACAACTATACTTTCATAAAATGTTAACAAAATCTATTCTGTTTCTTACCCCCAAACCATTCTCATTCTTTTCACTGGCATACATTTAGCTTTTAAATTAACAACTAGTCTGAAAATAATTTCACATTTCTACAAAACTTTTTTCCTCAAGGCCTTCCAGTTATTTTTCAATATTTTTACAATGCCCTTTTGTAGGATGAACCTAGACACGTATTTAGAGATGAAAAGAACCCAAACAAAACTCACAGAGAGCATGACTGACAGAGCCTGGACCAGGAGCCCTGTCTTTTGAGCCTTAGACTATTTTCACAACAGCTAAAATAATTTCTTGACCCTATTTCTTTATTTCCCTACAAAGCAAAATGCCTCAAAGCAATGTCCATTATTACCACCTCACAATTGCTTATCACCCCACTCTAATCATCCCTACCCATCTAGAGAGGATACTCATAAAAATCACCAATGAACTGTGTATTTTTTTTTTTTTAGAGACACAGTCTCACTTTGTTGCCCAGGCTAGAGTGAGTGCCGTGGCATCAGCCTAGCTCACAGCAACCTCAAACTCCTGGGCTCAAGCAATCCTGCTGCCTCAGCCTCCCAAGTAGCTGGGACTACAGGCATGCGCCATCATGCCCGGTTCATTTTCTCTCTCTCTCTCTATATATATATAATATATATATTTATATTTGTTGGCCAATTAATTTGTTTCTATTTATAGTAGAGACGAGGTCTCGCTCTTGCTCAAGCTGGTTTTGAACTCCTGACCTCGAGCAATCCGCACACCTTGGCCTCCAGAGAGCTAGGATTACAGGCGTGAGCCACCTTGCACAGCCCTGAACTGTGTATTTTTAAATTACCTGATCTCAACACAACTGAAGCACTTTCTTCACTTACCCTCCAGGATACCTCATTGCCTAATCTTCATCCTTCCTTGCCAACTATTTTTTCTCTGTGTCCTTTACTGGCTTCTCCATTGCTCATTTCTCTGACCCTTCATTTCTATTCTTTTACATCAGTCTAGATGATTTCACCCAGACTTGACCTTCTGTATCTGATAGCTCTCAAATCTGTCTCTATGTCACAATTACTTCCCTCCAACTCCAAACTACTAAACTCAATTGAAACCTCTAAGGCAGGCGTCCTCAGACTATGGTCTGCGGGCCACCTAGCACATTTATCCGGCCCTCCAGGTGTTTTTTGCCGCCACTGCCTGTCCTGCTTAGCAGCCAACTCATCCCAGGCCCACAGTGCGAACTCTCCAACAGTCTGAGGGACAGTGAACTGGCCCCCTGTTTAAAAAGTTTGAGGACCCCTGCTCTGAGGGGACAGGCATCAGAATTCCTGGTATTCTTCCCTATACCCTGTGTGTTGCCCATCATAGAAAATGTGAACTCCATGCACCTGGTTTTTTTAAAAGAGAATGTTTAAAAAAAAAAAAAGAACAGCAGCACAGTATTCATATTTGACTCCTCCTCCTCTCATTCCACATATCCAATCCATCAACATATTAACTCTATCTTTAAAATATATCCCAAGCCCATCCACTTCTCTCCAACTCCAAACTCCCACCCCTGTCCATGCTACCACCATCGCTCCCCTAGATTACTGTAAGCCTCCTAACCAGTTACTCTTCCATTCTTGCCTTTCTATAATCCATTTCTCAAAACAACACAATCAGATTTTGTCATTCTCCTGCTTAAACTGATGAATCCAGCCATCTGCCCAGCATTAAAACATGTAGGCTTTAAAACCTCCATGGAATAAATGTAAAATATAGTACCAGCTAACTCAGGTCTCCACACACATCATGTTATAAACTTAGAAAAATGTTAATGAGGCCTCTCTCCCATTCAATGAATATTGCAATCTCATGTGGCATCTCAAAAAAGAAAACAAAAACTAGCAGAACAAAAAAAGTGAATCCAGTAACTGAAAAAGATCTTGTCTGTTACATTAAAAAAATTTTCATTATCAGTATAATGACCTTTGACAGACTTGGAGACCATATCAATAATGAATGGAGGCCTTCAGGCTTCAGAGATAAAAGCAGGGACAAAAGAAAGGGAGAGATTTTGAAAATGGAGAGAGGTGGTGACAAATGGAGCTAAAGTCTGCAAAAAGAGAGGCAACAGCCAATTTGAGGGGTTATATTTGATGCATATTTGGAAACACTATCCATAGATGTCAATCCTCTTCTCTATTTACCCGCCAAAATCTTTAGTTAATTCTATATTTTCCCCATACTGCTACTGGGCAGGTGGAATTTTTGTTTCTACGAACCTAAAAGAGCACAGAGCTGATGTTACAAAGAAAGATGCTATACAACTTTTTTCTTTTTGACAGCACCAGAGGAATCTAATATACAACTCTTATTGATAAAAAATTAGTTTCTCTCTAGTCTCACAAGATAAATATTGAGCAAAGCTTTTCAAACATAAAGCTTGAAGAGGCATCAAATCACTGACTAGGTGCTCACATGGATCTCAGACAAGCCTTGTACAAGAATATAATGTCTCTATTTCTTCATGCTAATTTCGCCCTGATTTAAAATTTTTTCTCTACCTTTTTCACACTTTTCTCAACTATGTTTTTACAGAGCATGTACAAAAACTGTCTTTATAAGGCATTTCAAATCTTTTATAACACAAAGTGGGTGATAAATACAAATAATGTCATACATGATGATGGCTGGCCAGTCTATAAAAGCCTATTTAACACATAATGAAGGCTTTTGTTATAAAATTATTTTCCTAGTTCTAATTTGAGATCACCCAAATAAATCGTCCCCTCCCCCAAAATTGACATTATGGTATCAAGGGCCTCTTTTCTCCTTTGTCCATGTCTAGAGGAGTGGAAAAAGGAAGGATGTTCAAAGGCCAGCCTAGAGCAGAGTCTTCTGCAAGGTGGTCAGAGCGTTGTGGAGCAGAGATCAGGGACCAAGCCTGTGGGGTCCCTACAGCCTCCTGCTAGCATTAAACCTGAGCGAAGCTCTGACCTCTATAAGCTCCCTGGTCACATCCCAGTTCCCTGGGTCATAACAACTGGTCCACTGTTTTTCTCTCCGCCAGGAAAACCAACTCTTGCTGCAGATCAGAGTATTTCTCTCTGTCATAATAAACAGAAAAATAGACTCAGAGCCTCTGTCCTTTATTTCTATCCCTAATGCAAACATGCAGCTCTTTGGGAATTTCTAAGGGTGCTTCTTTTGCAAAGAATTTAAAAAGCAGGAGTACAAAGTGCACCCTCCTATTCCTCCCTACAACCTTCACTTCCTCCCTTGGATCATATGCAGAAAAAATCTCATGCAGATGCTAAAGACAAGTCCTTACATAAAGTACTAGGTCAAATTCATCTTGAGGATTTCCTTCCAAGAAACAGCAGACTAAGGCTGTGCTATCCTAGTGCAGTAGTAGAGACCTTGGGATTAGGAAGGACAGCAAAAGGGGTATATGTTTACAACTTACCAAATCAGTTAGCCCAGCTAAAGCAAAAACTCCTAGTGCAATATTAAAATCTTCTTCAATAATCAAATAGCCCAGAACTGGGGCCAAGCCAATTCTTGTCATTGACAACATATTTGGGATTGTCCATGGGTTTTCATACTGAAACACAAAGAATACAATTTAAATGAAATACTATAAATTCATACTTTAAATAACTATGTATGTTAGCAAAATACAGTTGAGCAACTTAAGATTCAGAAGCTACATAACCTTTAAATTTAGTATAACCTTTAAATTGAGTTTTTAAATCCATTCTGTTCTTTTTATAGGTGTCTCTCTAAAACCATCTTTCAAGAATACAGAAGGTGAAGATGTGCCATGCACCCAAACATAGACTAAAGGGTCTTACATACATAATAGGTTTTCTTCCTAAAAAGAGAGGAGACAAAAGAACATATTATCTGTCATATAAGCTAAGGCTTTCATAGGTGACTTTACCATAAGAAATCAGAACTTCCAATACTCTGCTTTCAAAAGTGAAATTTCAGGAAGATCTTGTAAGTAGACAAAATAGTCCTATGAAGTGTCAGAAAAAAGCCAAATTATCAACCCCAGGCATTTTGGCTTAAAACATTTATTGCAGGCTGGGCGCACGCCTGTAATCCTAGCTCTCTGGGAGGCTGAGGCGGGCAGATTGCTCCAGGTCAAGAGTTCGAAGCCAGCCTGAGCAAGAGCGAGACCCAGTCTCCACTATAAATAGAAAGAAATTAATTTGCCAACTAATATATAGAGAAAAAATTAGCTGGGCGTGGTGGTGCATGCCTGTAGTCCCAGCTGAGGCAGTAGGATTGCTTGAGCCAGGAGTTTGAGGTTGCTGTGAGCTAGGTTGACACCCATAGCACTCACTCTAGCCTGGGCAACAAAGTGAGACTCTGTCTAAAAAAAAAATGAAATAAAATAAAATAAAACATTTATTGCAAATAAACTCCCTCATTCCCCTACACACATCCATCAAAAGAATGCTAAATGCTGTACACAGTGAAAGCAGATATGAATTCATCATATTAATTAAATTTTTAAAAACCTGATTTAATTCTATAACCTTATCACTAAGTCATTAAATTGCTGGAAGTGGAGATAGGAATAGGGATTGACATATTTGGAATAAAGTGGAGATAGGAATAGGGATTGACATATTTGGAAATAAAGAGAAATTTTGAAAATCTGTTCAAAACAGCCATGGAAATGTTAAGATCCTCAACTAGAAACAGAGCTTTCACAGCTCCTATGTGGGAGCTTTATGATTCCTTGAAACTTCATTTGGAGCCAAGCTGTTTGCTGTTGGCACTAACATAATAGCTCTTTGGCAGCTGCTCTGAAGAACATCCCTTCCTTGCCAAACAAAATCTGATGGGTGAAAGGGTATTTCAACTTTAAAAAGCCTCAGCCCCAGTAAAGCTAAGACACCCTGCACAACAGGGAGCAGAAATAACACCAATACAGCCTTGATTTTTTTCCACACTGAGTCAAGAGTGCCAATTCCACCCCATGGGACTTTCTCTTCACAAGAACTAACCCTACTTAACCTCTTTCTTAATCGGTAACCAACTTGCTTAAACCTGAATTTTGGTTTTTAAAAAAGTGGTAAAGTCCATTTCTAAAGATATCTTTTAAAATGCCATAAACTACCCTGTAAAAAAGGGGAGGGATTCTCTAACAATACTATATTTGAGTTTCTAAACAGAACTCAGAAAAAAACAGCAAGAAAGCACCTCAGCTTGGAGGGGTAATTGGGTGGTTGTTGTGGGGGTTAGGTGGCAGAATACTGTAAATGAAAGCTATAGAAAAAGCTCCAAATTCTCCAGAGAACAATCTAAGAAGCAATACAAACCTCTATCTGGGATCTTTTATTGAAAGCAAACTGCATTATATAAAGAAAAAAAAAAATTCTGGGAATATATTCCAAATTCAAGTTCAAAGATCAGAGTTTCGGAGTCCAGAGACAAAAGATAAGTCTGTTGACCATGCTGTGGCACAGAATTAAGTCAAATACCGATACAACATTAAAGCAACTCACAGGGAGGGAGGGAGGAGGGAAATGTAGTTCATGATTGAGAAAAAAGAGTAACAAAGCAAAAGATCAGAAAGAAGAGGCCCCAAATTAACACAGATATGTGTGGAGCAAAATTAATTCAAAGTTGCAAACAGCAACATCATTTCATTGGGTGAATTAATAAACAGGAACTAATGTTGTTGAACAGTGAAAGGGGTTCTTCTTAGTTCTACATAAAACATTTCAGTTAAAATAAAATACTTCATTAATTTCTAACCATTAAATCTGTAAAAGTTTCAAAATTAACACTAGGAGAGCTAATCTCAGATTACCCAACCAGATAACCTGTGGCATACTCGACCAACTACTGCCGTCTGGGATGGACATCAGCCAGGATATGACAACTTCAAAGCATCCAGCATTCAAACCCCAGCATGCTTTAGCTATTAGTGGAGCTGAGACTCCTGCCAGGATGTGACCACCTCAACCCATGCTGTACAACTGATGAAAGCAGTACGGGGGCCCACTGAAGACGTAACAATTGAAGATGTAATAATTGCGTGAGTTTTGCTAACACATCAAAAGCTCTCCCACACTTATGCTCTGTGCTCTGGTGTCTTCTATCTGGGCAGCATTTCAACAGGTAAATGGACAAATTTCCCTCTGTTACCTCAAGAGTAATATTAATCTTTTTTTTAATAATCAAGAGTTAAATAATCTTTAAATTATGACCTAAATTACTTAACTATCCTTCATACTATAACGTGTGAAGTTACCAAAAGCCAAATGATGGTGAACCAAATATGCACAAGCAAACAGAAGAACCCGTATACCTTCCTAAAGATTCCTACTGACTTGTCCTAAACATTGGAGATTCGCTTCAAAACATTAAAAATAGAGTTTTAATAAGACAAGCAAAGCCTACTTTTACCAATGAAGTACGCAGAAGCCCTTCTAGCACCAGGTACGGAGAGAGGGGGGGTAAGAGGAGAGTCCAAACTTGACCACCGAGACCGTGGGTGGGACCCCGCTGGCGCCCCTGAAACTCATCCAGACCGAATGACTTGCCCGTAGCTTCTCTTCAGGGAACGGTTTAAACGTTCTAAAACGGAAGCATCCGGGCTGGATCCGCCCGAACACTTTGCTCGCGTCAGGGCCGGCGACCCCAGCCCGAGGACGGCCCTCCGCCGCCTCCGCGGTACGTACCAGGCTGGCTGCACTCGCCGGGCCCCACTGGCCGCCCGGGGCCTCGGCGGCGGCGCCCCCTCCAGCAGCTGGCCCGGGCGCCGCCTTGCCCGCGCCCGAGCAGTGGTTCCGCGGGCCGACCCCGCGCAGCCGCAGGCCGAGCGCGGCCGGGCGCAGCCACCAGCGCTCCGCGAGGCAGCCCAAGCAGCAGGGCGCGGGCGGCAGCAGGGCCCCTCGGGCGCGCCCCTTGCCCGGCCGCGCCCCCGGCGCCCATGCAGCGCTGCGCAGGGCCCCCCAGCAGCCGCGCACCACGCGCGAGGCCAGCATGGCCTTACGGCCGCGCCGCGGAAACGCAGGCGGCGAGAGCTCAGCAGCCCGGGACGCCAAAGAGCCGCTTCTCCATGGAGTCCCTGCAATCCCGGGGAACCTCGGCCACCGCTGCTTCCATACTAGTTTTCAAACCCTAGCACGCTCCGCTTATACAGGTGGCAGGGAGCCGCCAAGGGCGGACGCCTTCGCGACGCTTTTGCGACACCGTCGCTGTCGGGTTTCCCAGCGCCCTAGGCGGCAGCAGGAGGCAAGCGCCGCGCACTGACAGCGTCCCCAAAGCCCACGGGACCTAACGGCGCTCGCGCCTCCACCCGCAGCCAGGAGCCACCACGACTCTGTGGGGACGGAAGGGGCGGAGCGAACAAGGTGGGATGACCCCGCGGCCGCCAGGGGATAGGAGCCGGCTCACGCCCCGGCGTGAAACCCTCCGAGGCGTGTGGCCTGTGGAAGGCCGCCTCCGAGGGCTGTGCGTCGCTCTAGTGTCCTCGCGGGAGGTTTAATTATTAGTAAGGAATCTGGTACAGAAGTAATTAATAAATACTCTTTGCTCTCCTTGTTGATCATTGAATGAAGATGCATATACCAGAAATATGCGCAGTACTAATTGTTTTCCTGAGAATAGTGCTTACTATTTAGCCAGGCTATAATGCATCATCCCATTGAATCCCCCCAACAACTCTAAGATAGGTTCTATTTTTACTTTCCTAGATAAGGAAACTTAAAATTGCTTATAAGAATATCCAAGATATGAATCAGTTCATTAATATAGTCAGATTAATATACATACTAATTATGGACATATTACTAATATTAATTAATTTGCAATGTTACAGAACTTTTTTCTTGTTGAAAAAAGTTGTCAGTTCTGGCCCAGCGCGGTGGCTCACACCTGTAATCCTAGCACTCTGGGAGGCCTTAGCAGGCAGATTGCTCGAGGTCAGTGTAAGGTTTTTCTGCCGCAGCTGCGAAAAGAGAAGACAGACACAGAGAGAGAAAGAGTGGGGGCCAAACCACGTGGCTTTATTATACACTCGTGGACGAGGTTCTAGGGCCCCAAGAGAGGGGGGCCCCAGAAGTCGCCGCTGTTTGAAGGGGCCGAGGCCTTTTATACCCTTTGGGCCTGGCTTGGGACTTTTGGCAGGAAGAGCTGGGGATTTTAGGAGGGGCTGGAGGTATTTGTGGAATCCAGGAGCCAAAACGTTCTTATCCAGGTGGACATCTGGGTGTGGATCCTCTCTGCGGGGCCTGGCAGTTTTGTCCTTGGCGGGTCTGGTCTCATGAGCCTTTTCTTTTTGATCTAGGGAAAGGAGGGGACCTGCTACCAGCCTTACAGTCAGGAGTTCCAAATCAGCCTGAGCAAGAACGTGCCCGTCTCTACTATAAATAGAAAGAAATTAATTGACCAACTAAAAATATATAGAGAAAAAATTAGCCGGGCATGGTGGCGGATGCCTGTAGTCCCAGCTACTCCGGAGGCTGAGGCAGGAGGATTGTTTGAGCCCAGGAGTTTGAGGTTGCTGTGAGCTAGGCTGACACTACCGTACTCACTCTAGCCTGGGAAACACAGTGAGACTCTGTCTCAGAAAAAAAAAAAAAATTGTCAGTTCTGCATCCAACTGAATTTGAATGGGTTCTTGCCGCCTCTCTGTCTCCCCAACCGTCTCCCCCACCGTCTGTGATGGCCTACCCACCTTAAAGTTGCTCTTAAACTCTTAGTTCAGGTAGGTAGGAAAGGGAAAGACCAACAGAAATTGAACATTGTAGATGTGAGCATTTGTCAAAAGAATATCTTCAATTTCTTACACACATTGAAATACTGATATTGAGAGGAAAATTAAAGTTTTTGTGCTAATAATGTAAAAACGATAATTAAAAACATTGGAATCAAACACCTGCAATTCATATAGGTAGACATCAATTCTGGTTAACTGTGGCAAAAGGGAGTGGACAGGATTCCAGTCACTCTCATCATTTCAACTCACTGAATTGCCTTATTCACTCTTTCCACTTCCTAAGACAGTTTCTCCTTATCTCTTGGGATTTCTCCTCTCATCGGCCTTTAATATTTGACACTGAGGACACGAACTTATTTTCTGTGTTTTTTTTTTCCATTTGTCGCTCTGATAGGCTTTGTTTCTATTACATATGGTATTTGATCTTTTCTTAAGTTTTTCAAAATTAACTCTAGTTACTATGTTTAATTATTTTCTTCAACTTCTCTACTATCTATTTTATGGTAATCAAGTTTAATCCAGGCTTAGTGCCCTCAAGAATAACACCATTGGCTCAGCTCTTATTTGCCTTATTGTTTGGAAATACCATTCATAGTTTTCTGGTTTTTTTTTTTTTTTTTGGTGTAATAGGATTTAATTTTCCAGCAGCCTGCATGAATTGTTCCCTGCATACAGCTATAAAGTTAATGATTGAATCATATGCTTAAGCCTAATATTTTACATTAGTGAGACTGAAATTAGAGGTAAGTTTCTTTAACAAATAAGACTTATATATTTCTAAAGAATTACTCTGGTAGTGTTTAAGAAAAGCAATCAGATCTAGAAACAATCCAGTAAGATGCATAGTAAACATGATTATAACCATAGTATTGCTATAATTACTGACAGTTTTATAAAAAATTTTAACAATCCAGTTTCTCAGGAATATAAAAATTATCTTCAGAAACATGGTTGGGGTCTTTCTCCAATTCCTCCAGCCAGCTGAAATACTGCCAAGCTTACTTCATGTGCAAGGCTATCTGCACTTTCTTGAGAGTCAGCTTCTGCATATACTCGGACAACATCTTCAGTACCAGAGGGCCGGACAAAAGCTCGGGAAAGCTTGTACTTCTTCACCAGGTCATTGATTGCCTCCTGTAGTCCTGGGGGTGTAACTGCTTGTCTTTCAGCATCTGTGGTGCTAATAACTCTCCTGTCTGCAGCCTTAACTTTGAGTTGTCTGTTTGGAAGATCTGTGTAGAGAGCATCCCACTGTTGTACAGTCAAGCCCTTCAGAGCCAAGATTGCCTCAGTCACCAGCATGTCAGAAATAGCATCACCAGCTGCCTGGTTAAACAAGTCCATAATGTTTTCAAGCATCTTAGCAGCTTTTCTTTTCTTATCTTCTAATTCTTCTGCTAGTTGTTTTATCTTCATTTCAACTGCTGTACTAAACAGTGCGGTGCCATGCCCATTTGCTTCAAAATAAACTCCAATGTCAAACTCTTGAGCCTTGTGGTGCAAATGTTTTACACCAGTTTTGGTGCAATACACAGGTACCTTCATAACTTCTTCAAGGTAACATGTTGAACTTCCATTTGCATATGCAGTTTGTACAACACCAATATTCAAACTTTCTCCAATCTCCAACAGGAGCTCTTTAAGGAAACTGCTAATTAACGTTGCTATCTTGTCACCATCTACGAGATGAAAGTGACCATCTGCATCATGGTAGTAATAAACAATTCTGTCTGCATCTCCATCAAAGGAACAGCATCTTTCATTGGACTTCATTTCCATGCCTTGCGGAGGTTTCTGTTGACTCTTCACTAAGTCAGCTCCACATAAATGATTGAGTTTCCCTTTGGTCCCATCATCAAACAGCTGGACTGACAGGCCCTGTGAGAAGTAGTGTTCCATTTCTCTTAGCTTCAGGGCCCCTATGCCATTTGCACAGTCAACCTTAAGCGATCTAGATTCATCTCCACTGCAGGAAGCCTGTTTGGTAAGTTCCAAAAAAGCCTTAGAGAGTTTCTGGTAGTAACCTTCTGTGGTTGCCTTTCCATATCGGCCACTGGTGTTTCGACAATACACCATGTAGTGCAGCTGGGGTGTTGTTAGCAAGCCATAATCATGGAATTGACCTCCTAAAGCAGTCACGCCATCTATTACAGATTGTGAAAGTTTCTCACTGCTGGGCCTGGTATCTCTACCAATAACTATGAAGGCATCTTGTTGCAGATTCACAGCTTCTTTCTTGCTGATGTCAATAAGCACTCTCTGTAGGTCCTGTTCCTCAGCATTTGCCAAACATGTAGCATGTTCCTCCCAGGATGGTGCCAACATTTCACCCAAAGGGTCAACCAGTTTGACACCATTGTCTTCCTCAGGATTGTGGGATGCTGTTACCATGACTCCTATTGTGGATTTTGTTTGTTTTGACCTCAGGACAGCTAATAATCCCATGCGAAACATGACGTGATCAAGATGTTCTGCCTTCGTTCGAAATCCAGCAGTCCCATATTGAAGAATGAGTCCATTGGGCTTGGCATGTGATGCTGAGTGCTTTGTAATAGCACCTATATCCATGTCCGTGCCGGGAGAGACTCCCCTTCCCCGCGCCGACACGCTCCCAGTTGCCACCCCAGACTCCAGCCCCAGGCCATAGTTTTCTGTTTTAAATACAGTGTTAGTTGTATATATTTTTGTATATTTCCACATATGGAATTACATTATACTGAGTTGTAAATTATTAAATAGAACATCCCCCAAATTATCTATGTAGCAAATTTCATTGTGTTCTTCTGTTTTTCACTTCCATATAAAATTAGAGAAAAAACTCCAAGATAAAATAAAGTCTGTGCTTAAAATATAATAAACTATTTTATAATTTTTTAAGAAGACCAACTCTACTATAGACTACTGATACTGCTATTAGGTCTTTATAAACTAGAAAAGTAAAGTTTTGGACATTTTGCACCAAAGGACTATGACAGATCAATACTTAGTACTAAAAAGTAACATGCTTGTAACCGTTTCTCTAACATTTTAAGACTGGAAAATATCCAACTATCAATCTTGATTTCATTTTCTACAACTTGACAGGAGTCAACAAATGAACAGGTTAGTCTGGGATAAAGAATGGAGAAAATGTAGAAACCCAGTGAAGCAAAATTCCAGATATAAGATACTAGAATACACACAGTAAATAGTGGAGCATATTTACTAACACATCTGGTTTAGAGCAGAGCTGGGGGCAGAGGAAACTAAAACATTCTGCAGTTAATACTTAGTTTATAATAAGTTAATTTCCTGTTTTATAAGTTCTATAATAGTTAATTGCTATCTAAAAAGATTAACTAAATAGACGGGCACCTCGTATTTCTGAAGAGTCTGGGAATCTTTGTCACTAATCTTTTTCCCAAAATGGGGGGAAAAATTAGAAAAGTAAGTCTATAATAAAAATCTATATATAAATCCTAAGTTTCATGCTTGAAATTAATTTAAAGTCTGTATCTTTCACCCTTTTATCAAAATTATTTTTTAAAATAAGCAAAATATTCTGGTCAGGTGTTTTATCCCAACTTCTATAGTCAATCGTGTAAGTGCTAACACCAAGAGAACAAAAGAACACGAAAAAGAAAGGATTGCTTAACTTGAATTATTAGCCTATTGACAGTATACTTAACTTAGTACTTGAAAGTATAAACGTTAATAATAATTGCTACTAATATCCGTTGTGCAATTACAGTGGCACTATTACTGTCTAGTTCTTTATCCTTTAATTAAGTTGTAAAAATAAAAATTCTGCCCCTAGAGGGTAGTATTGTCTTGCCACTTTTATGCTTTCCATTGTAAGTTGAGAAGTGCTGACAGTATGATTGTGATGAATATTGGCATATCTTATCTTTTTGCTAAAAATTCCTGGAAACCGTTTCTAGGCTTTTCGAAAATTCTGCAGCCCAATCATTCTCACTTGTCACTTTTATATGAAACATAAGCTTTTTGAAAAGAAAATTCTATTCCAAATCTATGATGAATATTTTCTGTCTGTAGATAAATTGACAGATTCTAGAAATATATTTATTTGCCTTGCCCTTATATCAGACACGCAATAAAGTCTAGTGTTCATCACTTGTATTAAGTTGTTCAGTCTGGGACACAATAAACTTCATCTACTTTCTGTTTCCTGGAACCAGATGAAAATACTGTTAATGCAAAGAAGGTAGTTTTGCAGATGGGTCTTATATAAACATTAACGATAGGAAGTTAAAGCAAACTAGGAAAACAAAGGTATTTCTCTAGGAAGCAAAGAGTATTAACCCTTTGCACTCGCTTGCTCTTTTCTCATTATCCACTGAACTTTATCCACACTCGACATCCGAGTGCAAAGGGTTAAGTCTTACAGGAGTGATGGGGATAAGACCACCGGGGCTTAGGGACCCCATTTCTGAGGCCTTAGGAAGAGAGGAGGTGAAGGAATGCTGCCTGAGCAGGAGCTGGAAATAAGAGCAGAAGTTAACTGTCTAGTTGGGGGACGTTTGAGTGATCTGGAAGTACAGCAAAGCAGACCCCCACCTTAAAGCTTGAGGGGCCTCATGCCTAAAAAGCCGGGAGTGGCTTGACATGAAAGCCACCCACCAGCGGCTGTAAAGGAAGATTGTAAAATGTCAGCCCGGGAAAAGGGACCCAGGCTCCAATTCTTAAAGAATACCAGGTTAAGTTCCTTCTCTCCCCTTTGTTACTAGAGTGCCTCAGTTAATGGGAGCTAACCTCCCAATAACAAGTACTAATCTCTTTGTTCCTCAATTGAATGGGCCACAGCTGCTGAGTTCAGGTACACTATCTGTACATACCTTAAGGTGTAGTTGTGCTTAGTAATGAGCTATGTGTTCCTGCTTCTATAGATAAAAGAGTAATTAGCTAAGACATCTTATAACTATTAGGGGAGAATTGAAACTTCTACACATTGTATAACCCATGAGCTTTTCACGTGAAATCATTGTAACCTATAGCATGAAAAAGAGAATAAAAACGGGTGCTAATTTTTTTTTTTTTTTTTTTTTTTTTTTTTGAGACAGAGTCTCACTTTGTTGCCCAGGCTAGAGCGAGTGCCGTGGTGTCAGCCTGGCTCACAGCAACCTCAAGCTCCTGGGCTCAAGCAATCCTTCTGCCTCAGCCCCCTGAGTAGCTGGGACTACAGGCATGCGCCACCATGCCCGGCTAATTTTTTCTTTATATGTTAGTTGGCCAATTAATTTCTTTCTATTTATAGTAGAGATGGGCGTCTCGCTCTTGCTCAGGTTGGTTTCGAACTCCTGAGCTCAAATGATCTGCCCGCCTCGAGCCTCCCAGAGAGCTAGGATTACAGGCGTGAGCCACCTCGCCCAGCCTCAGTCGGTACTAACTGACTCACGGGAATGCTGGTGGTCTCCTGATCTTCCCTGCACCCTTCACTTTACTTTTTGTGTCCGTGTCTTTGTCTCTCCCATCTCTTGCAGCGCACACTGCCAGGGACCTGGTTATATCAGAGGCATCACGAACCCCCGTTATAGGAGTAAGCTGTAATTATTGGCACAAAACCCAAAGCTGAGTTTTGAATAACTAGTAATTCAAATAAGGTACAGGTTTAAATCATTATAGTAAATACACCCTCCCACAGCCTAAATAGGAAGAAATAAAACAATTGGATTTAGATTTGAAACACATGTAAGCAAGAGAGCGTATTAGTGGTAGGGCCAGGCAGGCACATTGCAGAGATTAACTGCACCTAAACTCTATAATTTAAATTACTTTTTACATTATTAAGAGAGCTAAACTAATTTTTTAAAGTTTTATTTTTAATTTAACACTTGGGTCTCACTGTTTCCCAGGCTGGATTGCAGTGGCTACTCACAGATACAATCCCACTGCTGATCAGCATGGGGATTTTGACTTGTTCTGTTTCTGACCTTGACTGTTTCACCCCTAATTAGGCAACCTGGTGGTCCCTGCTTGGAGAGGTCATTATATTGATGCCAAACTTAGTATGGACGCCCAATTAGCATAGCATGCTACAGCTGAGAACCCCTAGGCTCAAGTGATCCACTTGGCTCAGCCTCCTGAGTAGCTGGGACTACAGGTACGTGTCACCATGCTCAGCTAAACTAATTCTTCCTGTGTCAAGTTCTAGTGTCAACTTTTCTTCATTTCTTCCTGAAAAAGTATTGATATTACTAGAATATGTGAACAATTAAGTCAATTAAGTGCTTTTATTAATATATGGTTCATTCCTTTAGGAATCTTTAAAGGAAATAAGAACACTCACATAAGCAGATGTAGGGGACTGACACATATTTTCCTAGTTTAAGAATTAAAATTCAGTGGGTAATGTATGAGTTCTTCCCAGAGCGTTTGAAAGTAAGTGTTCCAGACAAGGCCCTTGGGACAAACACGGTTGCTGCCTAGAAGCATAACAATAGACCTGAGTTTCTGCATTGAGGCAAGAGCTGCCCAGCCCCATGATAAGTGGAGGCCCAGAGGCCACACAATAAGCACATTGTTCTTTTTTTTGCTGCTTAATCCCATAAGATGGCTGGTTAGTCAATGACGGGTAAGACCCCTCAAGGGAGGGGCGACCTAAGCCACCAGGCACAGCCCACAGCCGCAGGGGATCGGCCTAAGAGGAACTGGGGATGAAAGATGCCCCCTGTGGTGGCCTTGCCCAACCCTGCTAATCTTGGTCTGTGATCTATGCCTGGCCTCTAGAGCAACTACCTCAAAACCTTGAGTCAGGAGACATCTGTGTCCTTAGGCTACGTGTTCCGGGATTTATGGCTATCACTGCCATGCCTGGGTGGGCACGTACAAGGAACTAACTTTGATTTTGGGGGTGTAAAAATAAAATGACTGGTGCGTTCTGACTGCAGTCTTGTAACCGTCTTTGTGTGTGTCTGTGTGTCTTTTTGTGTTCTGTGTTCATCCTCCGTCCTGCAAATGAGCCACAACAGCCAGATATTATCTACAAACAAGGATGTTAAAGGGTCGGTTTTAGTATTTTTATTCCCTCTGCTCTTAGTAGTAAAATATTTAAGAGGTGGCAAGGGATTTTTAACATTATTTAACATGTGATTTGCTTTATTTTCCATTCCATTCCTCCTTCCTGTAAAGATTTAAGAATCTTGCTTTCTGTTTTTCAGTTTAAAGAGCCCTGATTTAATGTCACGTTTTACTATCCTTTCCATTTCAGAACATGTGACTGAACTTTGAAAGATGAAAAACCACCTGCTTCCCCCTTCCCCAACTGGAAAAAAGTAAACCAGCACTGTGGTCTCCTTCTCTGGTTTATTTGTGAGAGGGACCTTCAAATGTGAGCACAAGATAATTTTTTTTCTCCCACCAAATCCTAGTCATTTTAGTTCATTTTAAAGGGATTTACACAAGACCTACAAATGGAATGCACACATAAGAACTTTGTTTTCTTCTTTTCTCTCAGTCATGTGAAGAATTTTGTTTTTTAAAATACTGCTGAACATGGTGAAATAGTCTGAGCTATTATTTTTCTGTACATACCTCATATTCCTCAAAAATGGAACAGGGGTGTTATTAATACTATTTACATTTTTACAAATCATGTCTCCACACAACCCAGCATTAACTTATTTTGTTAAACAAGATTGTTTAAGAACCTTAATCGTGGTGCACATACTGGTCCTTGGGATAGGATTCTAGAGCTGCCCACATTCCTTCGTTCATCTGCAAAGCCAGCATTGTTGCATGCAAGACTTTCATAGTCACACCTTCCTCTGATTGACTCTCTTCTACTGCCTCTCTCTTTCACTTTTAAGGTTCCTTTTGATTATATTGAACCACCAAAGATAATCCAGGATATTCCCAGTTCACATCAGCTGATTAGCAACCTTATTTCTCCTTTGCCATATTTGGTATTTTCACAAGTTCTGGGGATATGGATTTTGTTTGGGGGATGGGTGGGAGTATTATGCTTCAGTGTTCTAATGCAATGTTCTGAGGTGCATCCCTGAGTATTTAGGAGTTTTTTTTTTTTCTTTTTTCTTTTGAGAGACAGGATCTCAGTCTGTCATCTAGGCTACAATGCAGTGGCACAATCATAGCTCACTGTAACTTGAACTCCTGGGCTCAAGCAATCCTCTTGCCTCAGCTTCCTAAGTAGCTGGGAATACAGGTGTTTGCACCATACCCAGCTAATTTTTTAAATATATATTTTTTTATTTCAGCATATTATGGGAGTACAAATGTTAAGGTTACATATATTGCCCATGCCCTCCCTCCCTCCTCGAGTCAGAGCTTCAAGCGTGACCATCCCTCAAACATTGCACATCTCACTCATTATGTTTGTTTGTTGTTGTTGTTGTTTTTGAGACAGAGTCTCGCTTTGTTGCCCAGGCTAGAGCGAGTGCCATGGCGTCAGCCTAGCTCACAGCAACCTCAAACTCCTGGGCTCAAACAATCCTGCTGCCTCAGCCATCCGAGTAGCTGGGACTACAGGCATGCACCACCATGCCTGGCTAATTTTTTCTATATATATTAGTTGGCCAATTAATTTCTTTCTATTTTTAGTAGAGATGGGGTCTCGCTCTTGCTCAGGCTGGTTTTGAACTCCTGACCTCGAGCAATCTGCCTGCCTCGGCCTCCCAGAGTGCTAGGATTACAGGCGTGAGCCACTGCGCCCAGCCATTAGGTTTGTATATACCCATCCCCTAAGCAAATCACTCCCTCTTCCCACCCACCTGACACCACATATATTTTTTCCTATATGTCCACTTAGGTGTTGATCCCTTAATACCAATTTGCTGGTGAGTACATGTGGTTACCCAGCTAATTTAAAAAAAAAAAATGTTGCCCAGGCTGGTCTGAAACTTCTGGCCTCAAGTGATCAGGAGGCCTTGGCCTCCCAAAGTGCTAGGATTACAGGTGTGAGCCATCATGCCTAGCCTGGAGATTCATTTTTAACACTAAAGATAATATACAGTCTCTGTATATTATTGAGTAGTGTAGTTTTTAGACTATCTAGTATTTTCAGTATATCTGGATGAAACCTTTTAGAAAATTATTTTTAATTCAGTTGAATCTCTCTTTACAGATGAGGCCTTTTGAAGTTATTGTTCATTTATGGAAGTAAAGGCTAAGGTCCTATATAGTCCCAATGAATTATTCAGTGATTTTGCAAGTCTGTGTGAAAATAGTTTCAGTTTAAATGTCAATATCTCAATTTTTTGTTTTCACTTTATTGATTTTTATTTTCATTTTATCAATGTTATATATACACATGATAATCCCATCATTCAGAAACAAATTAACTGATGATGAAAATCAATAGGTACACCGTCCCTGTCCATCCCTAGGCCCATTCTCCAGAACAAACCTGGTATAGCTTTTCTGTTTTTAGTTTTTCTAATGGTTACCTCTGTAACTTTAAATAAAACCAGTATGTATTTTCGTGTATTAATATTGACTCATAACATTAAGTATAGTACATGGGTGGAGTGCTTTAGGTAAAGGTTTATCAGTGAGAGTTTACTTGTAGGAAACATAAACGTTAGCTAGCCACATTAAAAAGGATTGTAAAACAGGGAATGCGGGGAGTTAGCTATGCTCCCAGCAAAAATTGGGTCCCTTTAGCAGGGGTCCTCGCAAGGGATAAGGAAATAATAGAAATGGAAAATAATAGAATATAGAAATAAAAGAAGACACAGAGACAAAAGTACAGTTTTTATAAAGTATAGTTTTATAAAGTTGGGGGAGTCAGGAAGTCCTCCAGCATTCCCATGAGCTTTGAGGCCATGAGTAAAGTCCCGCATCAGTATTTACTGGTGTAGTGATCAGTTGCCAGGGGTAATAGATTTACATAATAACAGGTAGTTCATTTTAGGTTAAAAGTATGCCAAAAAAGCTTCTAGAGATCCCTTAATTAACTCTATCTACATGAGCAAACGGTTACAAAATCTTTCTAAGACAAAGTTCTAAGATAAAATCAGCACTTAGCAGAAAGGCTGGGCATGGTGGTTCACGCCTGTAATCTTAGCACTCTGGGAAGCCAAGGCAGGTGGATTGCTCTAGGTCAGGAGTTCGAAACCAGCCTGAGCAAGAGCAAGACCTTGTCTCTACTATAAATAGAAAGAAATTAATTGGCCAGCTAATATATAGAGAAAAAATAAGCCGGGCATGGTGGTGCATGCCTGTAGTCCCAGCTACTCTGGAGGTTGAGGCAGCAGGATTGCTTGAGTCCAGGAGTTTGAGGTTGCTGTGAGCTAGGCTAACGCCATGACACTTACTCTAGCCTGGGCAACGAAGCGAGACTCTGTCTCAAAAAAAAAAAAAAAAAGAAATGTTAAAAATGTTTTTAAAAAAAGAAATATAGTGCCTCTATACTTCTTTATCTAGTTTTTTGTTGATTGAGACAGGTAGTCAGGAGTGAAGCAGGAACTGTCCCTTAGACTAATTGCTTTTAGCCGCAGTTGTCTGTCAGGTGGGTACTCTCTGATCAGTTCTCATCGTGTGGCCCAATACCGAGCTTTGTCGTACAGAGGCCTCAGGCGAAAGCCAACAGGTCTGAGACACAACATCACCATGGAAAGCGGCTACTTATTGGTGAGATGCCCTCCTGTGGCGAGGCAGCTTGGATATGTAAACTAACATGTTCACATATTCCTTCAGGGCAAAGCCCTGCAAAACTCCTGAAATCTTTTATGTCTCTATAGAGCAACATTTCTATAGTGCAATAAGGAACTGGATGCTTGCAATATTGTTGGAAGGACCAGAGGAATGAGTTCCATGATGAGTGTCTAGAAGTAGCTCCCAAAAAACACTGCAGGTCTGTATGGTTTTCCAGGGGAACTGCTACCTCACAATAATGAGAAAGGTGGAGAATTAGGGTTGTATCCACCACACCACAACTGCCTCTTAACAATTGCAAGAATTTTTTTTTTTTTTTTTTTTGAGACAGAATCTCGCTTTGTCACCCAGGCTAGAGTGAGTGCCGTAGCATCAGCCTAGCTCACAGCAACCTCAAACTCCTGGGCTCAAGTGATCCTCCTGCCTCAGCCTCCTGAGTAGCTGGGACTACAGGCATGCGCCACCATGCCCAGCTAATTTTTTCTATATATTAGTTGGCCAATTAATTTCTTTCTATTTATAGTAGAGACAGGGTATCGCTCTTGCTCAGGCTGGTTTCGAACTCCTGACCTCGAGCAATCCGCCTGCCTCAGCCTCCCAGAGTGCTAGGATTACAGGCGTGAGCCACCACGCCCGGCCAATTGCAAGAATTTTGCTGCAGGGAAATTAGATGTCTCCTCAATCATGTGTGCCACCAGAAAACAAGCAAGAGGAAGATGGCTCTCTCCTCAGTTTTACACTCTAAATCTCACATGAGGACATCTAATTAGTAGAACCCAATTCACATCTGGAAATTTAGCTACAAAGAGAGCTTGGGGGAAATGTGGTTTTTTTCACTTTCCAGCCTCTGCATTGTAGGAAGGCAATTAGCAGGGTGGAATGGATGGTGATTACCAAATAACTATACCTACTTATCATCTACCTCTTTGGCTAGTCAATAGGCATACACACAATTCTATGCATTCATAAACAATATATATTGTTTAATATTTTGTATAACAATTGCAATGATAACATGTTAATACAAGAGCCATATTTCCCTTTTTTATAAAGGAGGAGCTATAAAGATCCATCAATCACAAGGTGGTGGTTATTCCTCCTGATTCAGTTACATTTTCACCTTAATAATAACCTCTGTCCCAAGGACTAAATTATCAAGTTGATTATCACCAATACATCTTATTTAACAGACAAATGTAAGAGGAGAGAAGGGCAAATTGGTTAATGTATTAATATAAATGCAGGCAGGCCTTCTTTCTGCAACTGGTCATGAAGTTCTAGCTAATATTTACAACTATCTTCCTCCACTCCTGTTCCTTAGTCCCTTTTTTGCTCAGTCAGCATCTCAACCAATCTAGATTCTTTACCTGGTAGGATGACCCAAAGCTTCATTCCTGAGTCTTGAGCCTTTGTAAATCCTGCCCATAGCTTTCCATCGCTTTTACAATAAGCCTAGATATCTTCCACAATAAGCCTAACAAGTGAGTTAAATATAACATTTCTTCATCTTCCAAAAGAGAAAGTATCACTTACCTCTGATTCCTCCAGGGATGCAGCATTGCCTTTGGTTTACTATTTGGCCCTTCCTATCTTAATAGCTCTTATCCACAAATTAGGGAGCCTGGTGGACAATCTGTAAGTTGATGTCTATCCCAATTATGCATTCAGGAATAACTATACGGTAGGCTCAGGGACCCACTGGGCCACTGTAAAATGGACTTGGACCCAAACCCAACTTTTATCACCTACTCCCAACCCCACCAGCTCTGAACTACAGTGATAATCTGATTTTCCCAGGATTAGTGTTAACTCATGGGCAATATATGAAATTTTTGGTTTTGATCTCTTAGACTCAAGAGCTATTTATGTATGAATTTTTTTTTTTTTTTTTTTTTGAGGCAGAGTCTCGCTTTGTTGCCTAGGCTAGAGTGAGTGCCATGGCGTCAGCCTAGCTCACAGCAACCTCAAACTCCTGGACTCAAGCAATCCTGCTGTCTCAGCCTCCGATTAGCTCAGACTACAAGCATGCAACACCATGCCCAGCTTATTTTTTCTCTATATATATTAGTTGGCCAATTAATTTCTTTCTATTTATAGTAGAGACGGGGTCTCGCTCTTGCTCAGGCTGGTTTCAAACTCCTAACCTCGAGCAATCCACCTGCCTTGGCCTCCCAGAGTGCTAGGATTACAGGCGTGAGCCACCACGCCAGGCCTTAAGTTCTATTTCATGGTTAATATCTATAGCTTTCATGAGTATTTGAAAAGTATATTGTTTCCAGGGTACTACCGACTTTGGTACTTATCAATTAGATCCATCTCATAAATTATGCTATTCATACCTTTTATGTTCTTACTTTTTATCACTTAGCTGACATGAACCAAGAGAAACAAATTAAAATCTTCTATTAATTTGTCTGCTTCCTAATTGTTATTCAGTGTGTGACCAGTTATACAATTATGAATTGCTCCCTTTAGCATTATAAAGTATCCTTCTTTGTCTAATAGGCTTTGTTCTGATTTCTCTCTTTTTATATTATGCCCTTGCTTTCTTTTTGTTTGCACTTTTCTGGTATACCTTTGTCTATCTTTTTTATTTTCAGCTAACTCACTTTGCTTTAGGTATATCTTGTATACAAGAGTTTGTGATACCATTTGAAAGTCTTTTTGTTTCAATAGGTGAGGTTAGCCATGTACATTTATTTATTACATATATTAATATGACATATTTAGGTTTTTCTGTCACAAATATACTAGGCTCTTTTTGCATGTTAAAAAGTCTTCATGATGCTGCATCCAGGTGTGGTGGGCACCTGTAGCTCAGCTACTTGGGAGGCTGAGGTGGGAAGATTGAGCTCAGGAGTTCGAGTCCAGCCTGGGCAATATAGTGTGATCCCATGTCTTTTAAAAAATGGTTTTTGTGGTGAGGGATGCCACGGAGCCAGGTGGAACTGGCCTGCGGCTCCTGGGGCAGGCCCACCGGCTGGAGACATGGCCCGGGGGCCCGGCCCGTTAGACCGGCCTCACCCCGGCTCAGTCACCATGCCCAAGAGAGGAAAGCTATTCAAATTCCGGGCCCACGACGCCTGCTCTGGTCCGGTGACTGTGGCAGATTATGCCAACTCAGATCTGGCAGTCATGAGGTCGGGACGAGTCAAGAAAGCCGTCGCCAATGCTGTGCAGCAGGAAGTAAAACATCTTTGTGGCTTAGAAGCTTCCCAGGTTCCTGCAGAGGAAGCTGTCTGGGGCTGGTGAGCCCTGTGACATCATCGACAGCAGTGATGAGATGGATGCCCAGGAGGAAAGCATCCATGAGAGAACCGTCTCTAGAAAAAAGAAAAGCAAAAGGCACAAAGAAGACCTGGACAGAGCTGAAGGAGAAGAGTATCCCATGGATATCTGGCTTTTGCTGGCCTTCTACATCCGTCCTGAGGACATTGTGAACTTTTCCCTGATTTGTAAGAATGCCTGGACTGTCACTTGCACTGCTGCCTTTTGGACCAGGTTGTACTGAAGGCACTGCATGCTGGATGCTTCTCTGCCTTTGCGCCTGTGACCAGAATCAATGGAGAAGCTGCGCTGTCTCCGGGCATGTGTGATCCGATCCTTGTACCATATGTATGAGCCATTTGCTGCTCGAATCTCCAAGAATCCAGCCATTCCAGAAATCACTCCCAGCACATTAAAGAATTCCAAATGCTTACTTTTCTGGTGTAGAAAGATTGTTGGGAACAGACAAGAACCAATGTGGGAATTCAATTTCAAGTTCAAAAAGCAGTCCCCTAGGTTAAACAGCAAGTGTATGGGAGGATTACAGCCTCCCATTCAGTACGTTCATACCAACCCAGATCAGGACTGCTGCCTGCTGCAGGTCACCACCCTCAATTTCATATTTGTTCCAATTGTCATGGGAATGATATTTACCCTGTTTACTATCAATGTGAGCACGGACATGCGGCATCATCAAGTGAGACTGGTGTTCCAAGATTCTCCTTTCCATGGTGGTCGGAAACTGCACAGTGAACAGTGTACAAGTCATCTTGGACCCAGTGCAGTGTTCTACTATTCGACTGGTGGCATCCTCAGTATCCATTCTCCCTGAGAGCATAGTTACTGCTTCCCATCCCTTGGGGGCAGCCATGAGTCTAGTCCATCCATTAGTAATCAGATTCCAGTTTGAAAGGGGCAGCTGGATTATATATCTGATTAGTAATGTACATGCTCAGATTGCTGGGGCTCCTGTTAGGAGAGGGAGAAGTGTTGAATCAAGAAGAAAAACAACTATGATCTATAAACATATTTTAATGTAAAATTTGCATTTGAATGGAGTCGCCCTGTTTTCTGTGTTTAAAAAAAATGGTTTTCTTTAGGATGTAATGTTTTCTTGCTTTTCATGTTTCTAAAATTTGTACCCAGGATTTGTTTTAAGCAGGTATGACAAAGTGGTGGAGGCAAATGCCTTTGAAAGAATTCATTACTTATACTTCCCAAGAGAAAGGTGCATGCCATACCATACCAGGCCGTATGAGGAAGCACCAACGTCAATTAAGGGGCAAAGGAGCAAGGGAAAAGCCTAGGCTGGAGCCTTTATTGCTATACTGGTGGGGAGTTGTTTAGGTAGGGGCATCCCCCATTGTGCAGGAAGTGAAAGACAGATGTTGGGCTTTGTGGTTGGATGCTTTGTAATGTGATTTTTGCATGCCCACAAAAGCAAGATTGCAGGTGAGAGCTAAACAACTTTGGCTGTTTGGTGCTGTGATTGATGGATGCTAAATAGACAAATACAGAATTAAGAAAACATTAAACAGTTTCTTCTGATAACTTAGGCTTATATCATCTTTTCTATAACTTTATATAATAGCCTTAGCCTTTGACATTTTGTCCTTTTTTCTGTGAACAATGATGAATTAGTATATTTCCTTTCTTCTCTTTCTCATGTCTACCACTTTACTTGGAAATATAACAGCTTTTTTTCAATTAGATGTTTCTGGAACAGACTTTTCTTTTGAATTCAGCAATTAGGAAGGCCCCATGAAGAATCCTTTTTTTTTTTTTTTTTTTTTTTTGCTGTTCTGGTGTGTTGTAGGGGGAGCATTCTTCCACCTGTTCCTGGTTCTGAAGTGACACTGGTCAGGCATGGAGGCAATAGCACTTTCTTCTAGTGCCCTGTGTGGCAACAGGGTGTTAGCAGTTTCTTCTTTCAGCTAGTTCTAAGGCATAGTTTTACAAATTGCTCCTGGAAGTTTACCCTCCTGGTTCACCAGCCTTCTAAACAAATCTGTGAGCTAACCAAAATTCTTTCAAAAAACTTCTCCTGCTTAATCAGTCAGTTTCTATTATTTGCTACCAAGAGTTTACAAACTATTACCCATGAGCCAAACCATGCTTATTGTTAAATGGATTTAAAAAAAGAGTATTTTGTATTTGTGACATATGAAAATTTTATGAAATTCAAATTTTAATGTCCATTAATAGAGTTTTACTTGAACAGAGACATGCTCATTTTTCTGAATGCTTACATGATGGATATTTTATATGTAAAACTGAAATATTCATAAAAATAAGGTAAAAAAGGTAACTACAAATAATTTTTAATCATATCATTTAGACAAAATAATTTATTTTTAGCCTTTTAGAGAATTAAAAAAATTAACCTATGACTTTATCACTTTTTACATTCGTTTATCGTATCTAACATTTTTTTCCTATTACATTTGAGGCATCATTTTTCAGAGAACAGTGTATGTGTGTGTGTGTATGTATATATATATATATTTTTTGCATACCTTTGTTTTATTTTTTATTTTTTTAAATGCAGCTGTGCTTGGAAATGTATCTTCATTATTGTGATGGCTTTAAACTGCTGATAAACCCAGAAGGGTCTGACTTGGTAAAGTCTTTTTACATAGTTTGAAGTTGGAAAACCTTTGGGCCTTTTTTCAAGAGGTAACCTTGGTCATTTAGTGATCCAATAAAGTGTTCAAAATCAGCAACCTGGGAGAAAATAATCAAGAGTTAGTTCATTAAGTAATATGCCAAAATATAACTTTTAAAATTAACCTCTTAAACCATAATAATATACAACTGTTAAGTTGCTTGGGCAAATAAAATTATTTGTACCGCTTACAGAACAAACTGCCTACAATTTGAGCTTTGGATTCTCTAATGCCAAAATAAATAAAAATAAAAACTCCAGCATGTGGAGACTCTTTTATATTTGTTTTAGGTTAGCTTAAAAACAAAAATTAGCTTTTGAAATTAAGCAGGCTATTTTTCATAATGTGTAACAGTACATGTTTAAAGAGCTATTACAGTGATTTTCACTAGCATTTTCAAGTATGAAGAGTGTAGAATCATGTTCATTTAACAGAGGAGGAAGCTGAGGTTAAAAGAAGTTAAGATGATTATCCACAAGGAGTTTTCATAAAAACATGAGACTGAGTCTTGCTATAATGGTTCCCACTAATTATCAAGATGCTGAAAAATATCTGAAAAGAGATTAAATAAATAAAAACTATTTTGTTCTACTATACATTAATAAAGACCCCCTGAAATTATTGCAAAAAAGATTTATTAAGTATTCAGTTTATCATACCTGAATGTTTAGCTCTTTGGCAATCTGCCGAAGTTGATGAAATTGAAATAAATTATTATAAGTTCTTTCAGCAATGTTGTTGAGAGCAGAAATAAATCTTTTTGCTGATGACCTGTTGCTCATTCCAGAACCATGCTGGGATCGCTCAAAATCTAGGTTCCCAAATTCATCCGAGTAAGTTCCTAGCATGCTTAAAGGGAAGGGAGGAAAAAATTACTCAATGTGGCATAGCTGTAGAAATTCTGCCCTGGGCTTCCAGGTTATAAGAAGAAAAATTTGGAAGTAGCCACAAGGCTCACTTAGCAAAAATTTAAACATGTGTTTATTGAGTGGCCAGTTTGAAATTCACTTTGGTATGGACTGTTTGGAGATAAAAATATTTTGAACACAGTTAAGAAACTTCTAAATTTGAAAAGAGAAATGCACAAAGCACAACATTGATCAACTACAATATAAATACCTACAACATTCTTTCTGATTAAAAAATAAAATTCTAAATAGTAAATTTAGGCTTTTTTGAATAAAAATGTGTTCTAGCTCCTGGTATAGCATCTGGCAAATAAAAGGTGTTTTAAAATATTATAAGAATGAACTAGAAGGCTTATGCTGACTTGCAATATTAATTGTTAGATATTAAAGGACACACCTATTATTGCCAGATCTCTTTTGCTTTCTCTTATTTTCACAATATCACCAAGGAAAGAAATATGCACTTGACAGTGAATTTAGCTCAAAGTCTGAAAACACCAGTTAGACATACAATTAACCAACCTCTCTATTCTAGCTCTATTGCTGATTCTCTGCCTGTACAATGGGACAGATATATCTCACAGTCAGCCTAACAGGCAAAGATGTTACTTAATCAGGAGTTAATTAATCAAATATATACTAGTCACTTGCTAGGCTTACAGTGGTGAACAAAATAGGTACAGTCTCTCCCCTTTAAGGAGCTCATAGGAATGATTTTAATGGGTTACTAACAATAAAGCTTCATTTTGTTCATTTAATAAACAAAGAACCTACATTAAAGAGCATGAACTATAGGGATATGAGTCATTCAAAAGATTATAAAAATGATAAAACAATAAGATGGATAATATAGTATATATAGTATATAGTAGTATATTCCTGAAATATAGTATAATCTTATTTAAGGCTTTTATGATTAATGTACCATATACTTGTTTCTTATAAGAAAGTTGTCAAAAACACTTTAGGTTAATAATAATAGGTAATATTTACCTATTTACTTTATTTATCATAGGCTATCCTGTTTAATTCTCCTAGCAATCCTATGACTTACGGACTATTCTTACTCCCATTTTACCAATAAAGAAACAAAGTCTTAGTAAGGTTAAGGGACTTGCCAAAGGTTACACAACTAATGAGTGGCACAGGTAGGAATTGAATCTGTACTATACTGCTTCAGATTTGAAGAAAGATTTGTAAAATATTTGAGCTAGTTTCCTGAAATAGAAGAGACAATGATCTCTCACCTTTGAAGGTGGCTCTGTTCTCTGCTTCCTAGTGTATTTTCAATTTTAGGAGAAAGCTTATGTGAACTGTTTACTAAATGTAAACATTTAGTTTTTTTAAAAAATGTAAAGCTAGGTGCTCTACTAACTCAGATAAGCTATATCACATTTTAAGATTTTTCTTATTCAGGATTCTGCTTCCCAGTTAAAAGGTAATCTTACAGGTTTAAAACCACATTAAGGGCAAAGATTCAATAAAGCTGAAAAGATGAAAACTCTGAAATGGAAGATGTAATGAATGAACAAAATGATTACTAAGGTCAACTTCACAATGTAATACATTTACTGAGGACATGCTGTGTGTTAGGCATGAATCTGGGCCCTGGAATACACCGGGAAATGAAATAGATAAGGTCACTGCTCTCATAAACTAAGGACAGAATGCATATTAAGTATAACAAACAGAAAATTCGCAACCTAATCTCAACGTGTTTAACTGGGTCTTGATCTTTACCATGGAAATAGTGTCAGGTAAACCTGATCAAACTACTCTTTTTCCCCCCAAATTTTTATGAAAGCAAGTAAACACACTCAGGCAATTCAGAGAAACAATCTGGTAATCTCATGTGGGTGCTGTTAACACTTAATAATGAGACCTCTCTTTTCAGGGGCCCAGATGCAGACGGATGACCTGAAACTAGTTCAAATTTACCAAGAAAGCAACTTTGAGAAGCAGCAGAAACAAATACAGAGTTCCACAAGGCAACAACCCCATCTCCTCTTAGATGCAAAAGCACATTCAAACACTGTCTGACATGAGTATTCAGACATGTAAAGAAATCCTATACCAAGTACAAGCCAATCGTAAACGAACAATATAGCATTTTTATTGAAAAAAGTAATTACAAGGTTGAGCATGGTGGCTCATGCCTGTAATCTCAACACTTTAGGAGGCCAAGGCAGGAGGGTCACTTGAGGCCAGGAGATCGAGATCAGTCTAGGCAACATAGCAAGACTCTGTCTCTATAAAAAATTTTTAAAAATGAGCTGGGCATAGTGGTGGTGTGCCTGTAGTCAGTCCCAGCTACTCAGAAGGCTGAAGTGGGAGGACTGCTTGAGCCTAGGAGTCCAACGTTACAATGAGCTTTGTTCATACCACTGTACTCCAACCTGGGTGACAGAGTGAGACCCCATCTCTAAAACAAAAATCAGTAAGTTTAAAAAAAAAGAAAAAAGAAAAGTCAATTACAGAAATAATTTACTTTGCTTACACATAATGCTCAGATAGGAGAACTAATCTACAGTGTCCGCAGAACAGTGGATTCATTGTGGAGAAGCACCACCAGATAGCTAGTGGAGGCAATTTGTGTGGTCTAAGGCCCACAGAAATTGAGTAATGGTAACGCCTCAAAAAAAAAGAATTTACAGATAACAGAGAAAAGGAGCAGGGTAGTTTGCCTCTTGATTTTCATGATAGTTAACAGTCTATGAAGTAGAAGCATGTGACATTCTTCAGTAGAGCCAGGTACCAGAAGACCCAAAGGGCTAGGGATCATTACAAGGAAAAGGAAACCAAGAGTGGCAATCTTAGCTCCACTCCCACAGGCAAAGTTCAAGTGGAGGATGCACAGAAGGCAAGATGCATACATTCTGGATTGTAAGCCAACAAGTACCTTTTGTTCATTAAGTAAGAAGTTCCTACTTCTGGTTCTTCTTTTTTATAGGAAAAATAGTTAAAATCAAAATTTTCTGAAATATTGGTTGAGTTCAGTGATTTACTTTCCTAGTGGAAAAAAAGATCTATGTTAGAGCAGTTTCTATGTTTCTTAGCAGTCTAGTCTCCCAGGAAGCTACAACAATCAGAAGTCAGGCAGGCATCGAGTATTTGTGGCCATTCCTTTATTTCACATGCTAGTATACCAAGTCTAGGCAGCATGTTATATGAGAAAGTCTAGTAATTCCTAGACTATCTGGTTGCTTATAAATGGCAACTGGAGGGTCTCCAACACAAGAAGGTCAACTGGATAGAGTGAAGCCAGCTTGGTAAAATTTTCAGCTGTAAGATCCTTCAAACCCTAGTGCTCAATCACATAAAGAGAAAATTGATGGTTTGAGCACTGTGTGATGCCATACTAATAACGTATTTAGACATAGAAAGTAATATTTTGGGAATGAGTTGAAATGGTTGATAATCATAAATTACTAATAACTTTACTTATTATGAGGCAGTTGCTTTGGGGCCAGCAATAAAAACTTAAGACCTGTCAATTCTATAGTCTTTAAAGCTTTGAAAGACAACCAGCATAACCTTACGGTTGCTGACAAAATCTAACTCATTGAATTAAGGAGAAAGTTCCTCTTCTTCCATAGCCTCCCTCTAAGGGCAGGAAAGAAGCTGAAGACCTTCAGGAGGTGGCATGGTGCCCTTCTACCCCTATACATACTATAGAGGTAGCAGAGCAACCTCCAGGAACAAGCTAGTACCAGCCTGGGGACAAAGAGACAACTAGGTAAAGTCTATCCCTATGAGGAAAGGGAGAAAAGGATCTGCAGCTCAGAGGTACTAGACAATTTAGATGAAAAGCATTGAGGACTAGACCCTAGAAATACTTTGAAAAGAGTAAATTTGGAAATTTCGTATTTGGGATCCGAGATATGCCAGTTCTTGAGGTCCTGAGTTTATGATATGAGTCAGAGAAAGGGGGATCTGCTCAGTCTCATCTTAATATCATCATCAAAGCTAGCACTACTCCCCAGTTGAAAACTAGGTGGGGAAAAAAAAAAGCTAGCACTACTGATGGTAAATAGTGTTTACTGAGTGTCCACTAATGTGTCAGAACCATATTTGTCACTTTACATAGCATCACTGCATGATACCTAAGAGCACAATCCTTTGTCATGTGTTTAACACAAGACTGCAAAGGAGTATGTAACTAGCTGTGGCAGCTCCAGATTGGACTCTAAAGCCCTCGCTATTTCGGCTATACTCTACCACTTTTATTCATAGCCGAAGGGGAACAATTGGGCAAAGTCGCCTTGTTTTGACAGCAAGCAATCCCCAGAATCAGCAGTTACTAGGGAGGAAAAAAAAACCCATCTATTTTTGAAGAAAGAGAAACTACTTAACAAAATAAAATATGATAATTTTATCTATATATAGATATAGATAAATAATTTTTTTTTTGAGACAGAGTCTCATTCTGTTGCCTGGGCTAGAGTGCTGTGGCGTCAGCCTAACTCACAGCAACCTCAAACTCCTGGGCTCAAGCGATCCTCCTGCCTCAGTCTCCCCCGTGGCTGGGACTACAGACATGCGCCATCATGCCTGGCTAATTTTATATATATATATATATATATATACACACACACACACACACACACACACACACACAGACACTTTAGTTATCCAGCCAATTTTTCCAGCTATATATTTTTTTAGTAGAGGCAGGGTCTCACTCTTGCTCAGGCTGGTATCTTTAATATATTTTTTTGGCCTTGGAAAAGTAGATTCCTAACAGATTTATATTTTAAGTGCTGTGAGAGCATATTAAATAAAGTTAATTTATAAATTATAAGTTGATGAATTGATACAGTTGTGAAAATAAAGAGGAAACTCTGTAGGTACTGACATATCAGTACCATATCAATGATCTTCAATATGCATTTTAAGTGAAAACATAAGGTATAAAATGTATATGGTATGTTACCATTTATCTACAAAGGGGAAAAAAGAATATACAGATACATATCTGTGATGTGTATTTTATATCAGAAAGTCACAGAAGAAATTGGCAATATTTGTTGCCACTGGCCAGGAGGAAGAACTGAGTAGCTACTAAACAAGGTAGGAGGATACTTTTTCCAGTATATACTTTTTGAACTTTGAAGCATATGCATGTATGAACCTATTCAAAACAATTTTTAGCTAGAAAATAAAATCTACATAAAATAACCAGCTTTACTGATTTAAAAAAATCTATGTCTAAGGTAGACATATACATCAGTTAAAATATGTATTTTTTCTTTACCTTCTAGGAATCATGATCTACTAAATGGTAGAAAATGCAAAGGACACAATTTAGCAGTAATTATCAAAATCCTAACATATTTACTCTTGAACCCAGACATACAACATACCCACATATGAACTATCTTAAGTAGAACATTACTCACTGTAGCACTGTTTGTAATAGCAAAAGAATACAAAATATTCATATATCTAATAATAGGGGACTGATTAAATATACTATAGTGTATATAAATATACTATAGTGAAAACTATGTAGCTGTAAAAAAATGAAATCTCTCTATCCTACTAAGGAAAGATCTCTGCATATATTATTAAATTCAAAAATGGTACAGAACAGTATAAATAGTATGCTATTTATGAAAAAGTAATGGGTACCTAGGTGGAGGGAAAGAGTGGGTGATAAACAGGATGGGAGCAAGCCTTCTCAAAATCTCACGTTGATTTTAGAATTATGTGAATGTATTACCCACTCAAAAAAATTTGTTTAATGTAACAATTATTTACAGTCAGAAATATTTTAAAGCAACAAAGTATACTTTGTTCAGGAAAAAATAAGTGATCCAATGGGCTAAATAAAAGTAATTTTGCTTGGCCTAATGATATATAATTTGAGATGAGAAGATAACTGGTATTTAATTTAAAACAGCATGTACAATTTTAATCTTACCTATATTTCATAATTTCAACTATATCCTCAGCATCTTCTTTGGTTGCTTCCTCTCTCAATTCCAACCTTGCTCGTGCCTTTGAAAGAAAACAACTATTTTCAGATAACAAAAGACAAATATGTTTACCATCTGAGCAGGTATGGTATGTCTAAGCTTTATTTCATTTATTCACTTTACACAAAGACTAACTTTAGGGAGCAGGGAGTTTGTAATATCAAAAGTCAGAACATAAAAAAATTCTTTGTTATCACAGCACTATTCACAACAGCAAAGATATGGAATCAGCTTAAGTGTCCATCATCAGATGACTAGATAAAGAAAATGTGGTGCATACGCATACACACACACACACACACACTCACTCTAGAATACTATTCATCCATAAAAAAAATGAAAGCATGTCTTTTGCAGCAGCATGGATGGAACTGGAGGCCATTATCTTAAGTGAAACAACTCAGAAACAGGAAGTAAAATACCACATGTTCTCACTTATAAGTGGGAGCTAAATTATGCATACACATGGACATAGAGAGTGGAATGATAGATATTGGATACTCAGAAGGGTGGGAGCAGGGTAAACAATGAGAAATTACTTAATGGATACAACATACAGTATTCGAGTGGTGGCGACACTCAAAGCCCAGACTTCATCACTACGCAATATATCCCCGTAGGAAAACTACACATGTACCCTTTACATTTATACAAGTAACAAAAATTCTTTGAAAACTTGAGTATGCAAATAACTCACTTAAAATATGGATAAAACTCATTTTCACCTATTAACAAATCTTTCTGAGAATATTCATTTTAGGATATTTGATAATAAAATATACTTGGTTTTTACTTTCAGGAAATCATTTGTTGAAATAACAAAAAGTAGTGAATCAGATTTTAGGAGCAAAAAGGCCAAACTCTGGTCCAGCTAATTTTCACTGCCAGAGGTCTCTTAGTATTCTACAACTGGAAACAGTTATTATGGCTATTAGAAACATAGGCACTATCATTATGGACCTGCCATGTAATCAAATCAAATACTCAAGATATTTGGCATATTCTATGTTCCCC